CAAAACCAAAACCCTAAACTGTACCACGAACACGCTATCGAGGTGTATAGAGTGAGATATGGCAATCGACGAATTTTCGTAACGGATCCAATGGTAACTGCCAAAGAAGGTTTCGCTGTGTACGACAATGAAATTGTGTTCGGCAAACCATACGTAATCTATACGTTTTTAAGATTTTTCAGATGTGTTAAAACGCTTACGGTTGATATGTCATCACTCAATTTCGAGAATAAACCATTGACCATCGCCTACATAGCGGCACATACACGGACGACTCTGTTCAAATTGGAGATTGCAACACAGATTCCCATTCGTTGAAGAAATCATATTCTTCGGATGTGATTTCAATCCCAAGCACATTCTAGAACACAAGAAAAACAACTTGATGCGGGAATTTTCAAGTCTTTCAAGTGTTCGATTCAAACAAAATCTAAACGAAATTGAAGTACGCAATTGTAAGAGAAATATGTGGACCCGATGAATAATTATTATTAGCATTCAAATGATATTTTCAAGCAAATGTTTCAATTTAAAATGAAAAAAGGTTCTTTGCTAGATGAACTCTTGCTTGACTAAAAGAATAAATATAAGGTACGAAAAAAATGATGAAAAAAATCGTTATTATAATTGAATATATTGCATGACAATTTCTCTTCCCCAGTCAACGAAAAGAAACCAAAGAAAAAAACACAAATGGCACGAGTTTGGAATTTTTGGCCTATAACAAACATTCTGTTTATGTATTTATTCCATTTATTTAGCTTCGACTCACACACGCTGACACTCGCACGGAGACAAACATAGTCTTATGAAACGAATACTCCAGTAGATAGATCGGCGTTACTGTATGAATAGTGATGTAATTAAGTTTAAAACCGTACCATTTTCGCTAGCGTCATAGTTTCTAAGTCAAATGATTTGATTTAGTTAGCATATAAAACAATACATGATTAGACAAATACAGACTCGTTCAACTCATAAATGATCGAATCGGTTTGCGTGCGTTAAACATGCGAAATGCTTGTGACGTGACAGAAATTAGTCGGAATTTATCTTCACAAATGTGCTAATGCGAGTGCTTAAGTTCTTTTTTTTTGTTTTATTCCGTTCCAACGATTAATATTTTTGGCCATTTATCTGTTTTATTTGAACATTTTGTGCTTATCGTTAAAAAAGCTATTTGAAAAATCCAACGTTAAAATGATTTTTTTTTAACTAAAAATATTTAAAACAAAGAAATTGAACTGGTGCATATTATCTGCGTTAGAGGGTGCGGTACGACGCACGTCCGCTAAAAAGATTCAAAACCTAACGCAATTTATATGCTGAGCTTGCGCTAGTTATTATTTTAGCTTAAACGGAGTTTATAACTCAGCTGTCAGCAGTAGTGGGTGAATCGTTACGTCGATAAGAACAGGATTGGTGTATATGATTTGAAATATAAAGTTTAAAACAAAATGTCATAATTATTATTCGAAAAAAGAATATTCAAGGATACTGTTAAATCAATCATAAATAATAAGAAGCCAGCACAATGAATCTGTCATATGTGCTTGCAATATGTATCGCGTTCATGATGTTTGGTGAAGGAGATGTGTTAGCAGATGATACATCAGCCAGTGCAGTTCAGCTAAACAACATGGAAAATGGAAGTAAGTGTGCATATTCTTCCGTTTTAAAAAAAAAAACATTAATTATTGGTTTTGAGAAAGTAGCTGAAAGCAGCTAAAAATCGGAAAAAAAATTCGAAAACTTTTCCTTAAATTCGCATACTGTATTTTATGTGTCTGTATATGTTATTTGTCTTATCTGTATATTTGTATATTCAAATTCGTAGAAATTCCTATCATTATTATTATTCTTAAATTATTTCTGGAAACCAACATTTGCCGCAATGTTTTTGTTGTCATTTTTCACAGCAACATACACGTTTTGCAAACAAAATCACAACGAGCTGAGTTTTTTTGATTAAAATGTATGTAGAACAAAAAAATAGACTGTAGTGTGAAAGAAGCAACATGACACACACAGGGTGTCATGTTATCACTTGCAATGGTTAACATTCCAAAGGTTTAAACACTTTGCTTATGTGAGGACAAAATATTTTTTCTTTTTCAAATTAATGTCTCAACAATTGATCTAATTACAGTTTGTGTGCAACGGTTTCGAACCCCGTTTTTTGCGAATGCTTTCATTAGAACCGAAATTTATTTGAAACGGTTCCGATTTCGGTTGTGGCTTCTTCTTCTTCTTCTTCTTCTTCTTCTTCCATATTCATTGGTCAAAACTTGATTCGCATCGCGATTAATTGTTTCGTCACAATTTTTAATGTATTTTTTCCTCGCTATATTTCAAATATTTCAATAAATCGTAATTACTCACTTTATCTTCCAGTATGTAGTAGCAAAGATATTCGGAATTCGGTGAAAAATTTCAACCAACTGAATGGATGCCGTGTCATTGAAGGATTTGTTATGATTACACTTATTGATAGGTACAACGAAACGGATTACGATAACCTCGAATTTCCACTGCTCACCGAAATCACTGAATTTTTGCTGGTGTATCGTGTGAATGGCCTTAAATCACTGGGCAAACTATTTCCAAATCTACGCACTATCCGTGGAAATGTTTTGATTCATGATTTTTCTTTCGTTATCTTCGAAATGATGCATCTAGAGGTAAATCCAGATGATATTTAAAACTGTTCGAGAAATATTCGCATCCAAGTGATTTGTTCACAGGAAATCGGTTTGACTTCACTACTCAAAATTCCACGCGGTGCTGTTCGCATCGAAAAGAATCCAGCGCTCTGTTTTGTTGACACAATCGATTGGTCGTTGATTACATTGATTAGCGAAAAAAATGTATTCGCTAAAAATAGGGCGACGAGTGAGTGTCCAAGATGTCCCGGTAGCAATGGTAGTGAATTGTCAAAATCGAATGCCAAAACAATTGTCTGCCCGGAAGCAGCTGGACGGCCATTGTGTTGGAATCATCAAAAATGCCAAATAGGTGAGTATTGAAGGTGCTCACGATCACGAACTGTTCCAGTTCGATCACGAGTATACATTAGGATCATTTTCTGTCAAAGGTGGAGAATTACCCGCCATCCGTATGAAAACCAATACACTTTTTGTGCATACTACTACTTCTTCTTCTTCTTCACACAATCGTGCACACAATCGTGCACAATGGAAGCGGCTATATTGAATGTTTGTAGTGTATTGTCATTATTTCTTCCAATATGGCGATTTACAGTATGTGTTAAGAAGAAGAAGCAGTACCATTCCTCAATTTGCATACGGACGTTAACCGCAGGCTTTTTTTCAGTTTGTCCAGCAAAATGCGGAAATTTAACTTGCAATCAAAACGGACAGTGTTGCGATGAATCATGCCTTGGTTGTTCCAATAAAAATCCAAATGTATGCTTTTCATGCCGCTATCTCAGTTTCGGCAATGTTCTGAATCGTCAATGTGTCCAAAATTGTCCGGGAAATACATTTGCACATGAGAATCGTCGTTGTGTCACAGAGGATGAGTGTCGTGCCATAAAAAAACCGGTCTTCGTCAATTACGATCTGTTAGACTATCCGTACATACCGAGCGATGGTAAATGCGCCACCGATTGCCCGAGCAAATTTTATCCCGATGGACCGAGCGGAAAACGTGAATGCATCCCATGCAATGGAAGCTGCAAAAAAGAGTGCCCGCCCGGCACCATTGACAGTATATCGACGGCGCAATGGTATCGCGGATGTACACATATCAAAGGACCATTTGTGATCAACATTCGAAATCAAGGCGGACGTAAGTGTCTGCAATTCATTTTTTGCATTTCAAATTTGATACTCAACTTGAACATTGACTTTCTATCAATTTTAGAAAATATCGTGCGTGAATTGGAAACCTATTTATCGGATATCGAAGTAATCGAAGGTCCGTTGTCCATCATTCGTTCGTACCCATTGGTTTCATTGGGATTCTTTAGAAAATTGCGTATCGTTGAAGGCGATGTCACTGGAAAAGAAAAGTACGGCTTTAAAGTATTGGAAAATCATAATCTTCAGTCACTTTTCACCCAAAATGTCACCATCCAACACGGTTACATGCTTTTCCACTTTAATCCCAAACTTTGTATGAACATCATCGAGGAGTTCAAAGACAATGTTCTCGATTTGCGCAACGTATCAAAATTGCCAGCCGATGAAGTGGCACCCAACTCGAATGGCGACAAAACGGCCTGCAATGTCACAAGTTTAGAGGTTGAAATTAAAACATTTAGTCACAATGTTGTTGTGATGGAGCTGAAACCATTGCCGTATAAAAATGAACGTCACTTGCTCGGCTATTTGCTGTACTACAAACCAGCTCAATATCAGAATGTGAGTCAAATTACGTATATTTTTGTAATAAATTATTTATTATACATGAAAATGAGTGCAAAATGTACCTTTGTTAATAGGTGACGATGTTTGATGGCCGTGATGGTAATGGGAATGATGATTGGCAAGTGGATGATGTGTATGACAATATTCGAAATTCGACACCCATTGCAATCATCGTAACAAACTTGAAGCCTTATACACAGTATGCTTACTACATTCGAACATACACTGTTGCTGGCGAACAGCAAGGTGGTATTACACCAATCAAATACTTTCGAACTGCCCCATATAAGCCATCTCCCATCAAAAAACTCTCGGTCGCTTCAGATGGTAGCTCGAAAATTGTAAGCCAACTGAAAATACCGATACAGATAATTCGTAAAATATGTTGATTTGAATGATTTTCAGATGGTTAAATGGAGTCCACCAGTTGAAGCCAATGGAAATATAACCAAGTACGTCGTAAAATGCACGATAATACCAGATGATCCACAGCTGTTGGATCTTCGAAACTATTGTAACGAACGTAAGTTTTAAATGTGTTATTATCAAGCCCACATTGCACAAGATAAATTCACCGATAATACAAATTTACTCAAACAAATGCACGTAAATGGCTACTGAAGACAATATTCTTACAGCTCTAGGATTAGAACCAACTTTGGGATTCAAAGCGGATGTAAATGAAACCCAATTTGAGGCAGAGGAAGATAGTTCGAAACAAAGTATATGGGTTGGCGATGATACAGATCTAATTGATTTTGAAGATGAACTGCATAATACGGTTTATGTTCAGTATGTTATGAAAATTTATTTTAAAATAGCCACATTAGAATGACGTTTTTTTCCCTTCTTTTTCAGAAAAGTGAGAAGTCGTCGAGGAGTTTCTACACAAATGAATGATGGCACAACGCTGACAAAGACCAAATTACGGCACCGACGTTCAAGCAACGCATCAGAAAATCAACAGAATTTTGTCCTAATGATCCACCAACCAACTACAAAACCCACTACTGATGATAAAGTGGACAAAATGGATCCAACACAAGTCTACTACACATACATGTACAGAATAATGAATGCATCGTTTTCTACGTTGTATTTGAGCGAGCTCAAACACTATTCGTACTATTCGATAGCAGTGAAAGCGTGTCGCGAAGGTACTGGTGAAAATTGCGGTACGTTCTCACCAAAAGTTTAATCGTTCAATTCGATTTATTTTATGCGATAGAATTCATCTCTCAGCAAATACCAAACACGAATCAATGTCTATTTTTCTTTCTTTCTCTGTCACAGGTGATGAAGTGATTGTCTATCAACGAACTGGAAAAATGGACGCTGCAGACGATGTGTTATATGTAGTAGTTGAAAAATTACCAGCCTCAAATCACAGCACAGGTGTACGATTGTCCTGGAACGAACCGGAGGATCCAAATGGCATGATCGTTAGCTATAATATTCGTTATCGGCGCGTTGACATGCCCGAACATGAAAAATACAAAGACATTTGCATCACACAAAATCTGTATCGTGAACAGGGCAGATCACACATAATTACCGATTTGGTGAATGGAAATTACAGTTTCACTGTTGCCGCTCACTCATTGGCCGGTTCGAATATTCGTTGGTCGAAACCAGTTTATTTCCATGTTGATGACGAATGGCTAGCAGCTCCAACGATTATACTTGTTGTATTCGCAGTGATACTTGTTTTGGGTGCATCGATATGGTTCTATCGACGTAGAAATAGACCAGCAGATAGAAGATTCAATATTATGGCCTCCATGACGGATGAGTGAAATGGATAGAACAGATTAACATACTGACATCGCTTTTGTGTAACTTTTAGTTTTCTGAATCAATGTAAACCGACACCATATTTCTTGTAGATCATAAATTTTCAAAATATTCAAGAATGGACTTTTTGAGTGAGTTGGATTCTTAATCAAATGTACATATTTGCTGTGAATGTTAACTTAATATCAACATTCAATGTAAACATCACAGTGAAACTCAACTTGGCAAAACTAGGCAATTAAAATCGCCACTATGGCAGTGAAACAACAACGTCGTTGTGTTTTTATGCTTGTAGACAATGAAGGTTTGAATGATCAAACGATGATCAGCTGATTGGAACACACAACCAACAGCATATTTTAAGCAATCATTGCCGCCTCTTTTGTAGTTATGAATATATTTTTTTGAAAGAAAAATCATCGCAGAAATTGAGATTTGATCTAGAACGATTCAAGCAATATCAGTTGAATTTAAACAAAAAATTGCCGCTCAGAATTTTACACATTTATTCTGCTCTTGATCCTTTTTTATTTCTTCTTCCTACTTTCACTGTGTGAAAGGCATTTTTTTTATTCCACATTTTCTACAATAAACCTTTTGCTACAATTTATTTGTGTAAATGTGAAGCCATTTTAAAACTATTTATCAGTTTGAACAACATTGAAATGATAAGACGACTGCAAAATTATCTTATGCTTGAAATACTTCAAAATGAACAAGGGTTCAAAGAGTGAAGTGCAGAAGAAATACTTTGTGACCGAGCTCAAAGTGAGGAACATTCCATGCATTTTGATTGCGTTCATGAATATCAGGGAGATTCCAACGGAAGTAACTTTATGTTTTGACTTTGGTCGCCTTCTTGTTTACTATTTAGCAAAAACAATGTTCCATACTGTTATATTCGCCGCCCTGGCCTTATACCTCCTCGTGAACGGTTTACATATGGCCAGATCCGGTACCGGTGCGTACAACTGTGATTGTGATTACGAATACGCTTATAAGTCCGCTAAGTTAATCCGTAGTCTCTTGCGCCAGTTTGACAGCTGAAATAGCCCATGCTCTATGTGTAAAAAAACCGATTGAAACACACAGATACACAATCGCAAAAGTATACGTATAATACGGACGCATTCGGCTACCGATAAGATGCAAACTCACTTCCGAACGTAGTTTCGTTTTCACTCTTTACCGCTGATCATGCTTAGTTAATGTTATTGTTTCGTTTTATAATTTCAAAGTATTTAAAAAAAAACACGAAATTGTATCGTAAGAAAATACAGTGATATTCTTGTAAAAATTTGTATTATTTCAAGCTTTCTTAGCTCTTTACTATTTAAATTCACAAAACGCACACACTTTTATCCCGGAGTTAACATTGCAATGGTATATTTAAATTCCCATTGGGAAAAGAAATAAATCCAATTATAAGAAAAAATCTCAAAGTGTCATGACCACAAAAGACAAAAAAAAATAGAAACAATGAGTGATCACTACTATGTAAATAGATCGATTGACAATGTTCATTTAATTATTGTAATAGTTTTTGGCAAAAATCGAGTGAGCGAAACTATTCCACTAAAACTGAGGAGCGTTCTGTAGGTGGGCTTCTTTAGTGATTAAAGATTCATCTGATTAGAGAGTTCGTCATCAATAAGGCATTATTTTACGAATATATCATCAGAGGCCATTAATAAATTTGAATATTTTAAACGAAAAGTAGCTGGCTCCGCATGAATTCACAAACAAAAACTCGTACGTTTCTTTAAAAAAACAACAACGAATATAAATAGTAAAACAAAATCGCGAACGAGATGAGAACATTGTATTTGGAGTTCATATGATTTGATCTACAAAAAAAAACACTTAAAACTCATATGGTGTTTCGGTTGTGTGTTTATATTGGGTACGATAGCGTCTGAAGAATAACCTCACAAAGGAGAATGCGAAACAAATGTATACATAAATAAATGTTGCCATATGAATTTTTTTCTGAGCTTCTAAAATGTATATATAGGTAAAACAATTATATGAACTCCAAAACTAGATAAAACCAGTAAAGCAAAGAAAAAAATACTTCGTAAAATTTCCGTGAACCATTCTTTGACGATTGTGATGATTATAATTATAATGCCGATCAATGGCGTTCGAAAAAAAGTAAAACACCTTCAGTAGAATTATCATGTTTAATGGCATTGAGTTCCTTTCCACTTGATGTCCTCAGCTGGTATCGCTATCGCTGTTATAGCCGTGCAATTCTTTCTCGTAATCACTGTGTAGATGAAAGTAAATCGAAAATGCACAATGTCGTGAAATAAGAAGGAGCTTTGGTTAAATGCCAAACGGCACTGCTTTGAAATGGAAATTCGTTTACCCAGTAGCGAGTGAGTTATCATGAGAAGCGCTTTTATATTGAGTTTGTTTCACTTTATCTATATGGTGATATAATAATAATCAAATTTTTTTAAAAATAATTATAATGATGAAAGAACCGACAAGAATTAAGCAAAAAATAATACAAAATTTGTTCCAAATGATATTGGACGTTAAATTCATCTATTAAGAGAAAAAAAAGCCTTGAAAAAAATTCCGTTTGTTAACACTATGATTGTTCTTGGGGCACCCAGGGCCCCCAGCGAACTTTAAAGTTGAATAAAAGTACTAAACAGTGTATAAACCAACCGGAGTTAAGTCTCATTGTACAGATTGAACATTTCTCTAAACGAATGAAAAAAAAAACATATGCATATGTGTGAGTATGTGTAAAATACAGCCTGCCGCAAAACTTGTTACGCTGTTGTTCTTGGGGGACCACAGGGCCCCATGGCTATTTTATATTATAACTGGACTATGATAAGAGATAACGACTTGATGTCTGTGGTGAAGTTGTAGTACTTAAGCTGCTCTACAGCTTTGCCGAGGACACCAAGTCGTTATCTCTTATCAGTTTCGCGAAATACGCGAAAAACCGCAGAAAACCGCGAAAAACGCGTTTTTTTCTTTATCATTTTTCACGGAACTGCTAAGAGATAACGAGATGGTGTCTAAGGCAAAGTTGTAGTTCTGGTCGAGGACTACAATTATTCTGATTCATTATTCCGTTATCTCTTATCAATTACGCGAGAAACCGCAAAAAACCGCGAAAAAACGAGTTTTTGATAATCATTTTTGGCGAAACTGATAAGAGATAACGATTTCATGTCTATGGTGAACTTTTAGTACTCAAGCTGCTCTACATTTCTGTCGAAGAAGCAAGTCTCTTACTTCTTATCAGCTTCACTAAAACGATGTGGGAAAATTTTGCGATTTTCGCGTTTTTTCGCGTTTTTCGCGGAACTGATAAGAGATAAGCAATATTTGTTACACCAAAATTATAGCAAACTTTGAGTATTACAACTTTGCTTCAGACACTAATTTGTTATCTCTTATCACAGTCCAGATTTCATATGAAGTATCTTGGGGGCCCTGGAGTCCCCCAAGAACAGTAATATGTTGCAAATATGAAGAACAGTCATAGTGTTAAATTTCAGTTGTTATTCACAATAAAAAAAAAACCTTTTTTTCATAACATAAAACAAGGACAAATTCTAAAATTAAACGTTTCGCAAAATAAAAATCTTTAAATAAAATTTCAGCGTAAATATTCTAGAAATTATGATCAAGTAAGTGAGAATGCATAGAAAACGGAATGAACTCAATCTCTCTCTCTCTCTTAATTTTTCGTTTTTGCTTTGTTGAATTGCTAAAATTTAAACAAAAATATATACAAAAATAAACGGTTGATAAGCGGTGCGCTAGCTGTCGCTCGCTTGTCTCGTGCTCCGCATTTTTTTTCCATTGCCCCGTTCTTTTGATAATGAAAAAGAAATACCACAAAAATTGTATATCATATACATATACCGATAGGAACGCATAGCAGTGAAAATGTAAACAAAAGGTAGTTTTAGTTGGTTTTTTCTGCCTAGAACTGCATCAAACCTATTTCAAAAACCGGATCATTACGTGAAACGAGCTTAATTATTATATTTTTGTACGTACGCTGAATACAGATTAATTTAACATTAAAAGAGGGATTGATTAATCTTTGGTTGCTTAGGAAATATCAGCAATGTATGAACATATAAGTGTCGTGGTTACGTTGAACAACATGGAACTCTCATTCCGTGATTAGTTCATTTGTGTGTGTGTGTTTGTGTGTTTTCCTTCGACCGAGATTTTGGTAAGGATACCTGCCACGGAATTATTAATATTTGATCGTCGTCGCTCTTTTTTTGTCCATCATAATGATTTCAATTATCTTGTAATTCACAAGTTGAGCGCATACAGACAAAGATGTTGAGCTAGTTTCATGCAGAACCATCCAATTCTTATTGCTAATCAATATGAATGATGAAATCGAGAAAAAAACATTTTTTACACTGTTTTTATTGAATGATTTCCAGCATATATTCAATACATATAATTGAATATATCCTCCAAGTTCGCAAGTATTAAAAATCAGATGATCTCAGTCCGATTTGTGTTAAGAGAGAACATAGTTGCGAATGAGCGTTCAGTCTTGAACAAGATACTTTGAGGTGAACATTGAATTTAGAATCGTTGAAAGACAACTCTTCGACGTGTTTTTGTCTATGTGAATTGTGTAATGTTTGAACTTTGTTAGGATTGTGCTTTAAATGAAGACTAAATAGACGATTTCAATCGATCTCTCATTACTGTTTGTGGCAATTATTCTCAAACAGAGCCATTGTTCCTAACAAATTGAGAAGATCTTTTTTTCCTTTTTGAACAAGTAAATAATTACTTTTTTCAATTTTTCAATTAAAGACCTTGGAAAATGGATAATGACATAGAAGCGCCCAAAGATCCCGGCGTATTGAATCAAAAAAACAGCGAACAGGATCATGAAGGTAAATGTAAAAAATTAATAAACATTGAAGGTAGTGTTGTTGGAGAAAATGTGAACTATTCAATTTAGAATAACTTATTTTCATAACTTTTAGCTTGGGCCTTTATGCAGAATGGCTAGGCCCGTAGCTAGAACTGCAATTATAGGCTGGCTCAACCAATTTTTGGGATGGCGCAAGAATTTTCAGCGGAGGGGAGGGGTTGGGGTGGGGTTTGGGTTATTTCCTGAGAGAATTTTTTTTTGGACACCTCCTGTGATGGGCTTCGCAAAGCATTAGTACGCTCTCAGAAGTAAAAAATGAATAGTCGTATAGTTATTCCCATTGCCCATATATGCGGGAGCGTCACGCTCCGAGCGTGTTTTCGGAAGATGGCGCAGAAATTTTATTGCTGGATAGTTGGACTGAAATTTGTGTCGCGTTTTCGCGACGAGCTTCTTTTTCTTTCCATGAAGCCATATTGTGAATGTGTTGCAAGGATTGACTGTGTTTATCGAGGCCTTTGTTTTTCTGCAATACCAATTTCCACGTTTTGAATTCATTATTTTTGGGCTGGCTGAAATATTTCGTGGGCTGGCTCCGCCAGAGCCAATATTTACGGGCCTGAGAACAGCCACCATCATTCGTTTCGTCGACATAGACATCATCACAATGAAAATGATGAAGTTTTCGAAAATGATCGGCCCAGTTAGTAGATTTTTATTGAATTTTTCTATGTAGTATTTCAGAATTATTACTTTAAAAAGAATTCTGAACCCACTACTTCCAAGGCACTCGATTGTAACCATGCATGCTCTTCCCATATATGTATTTTATATTCGAAATATCGTGCATGGTTAGATGGCGTGATAAATTTTACCGCAACACATAATATTTTTTTTAACGACGACTTTTTGTTATTATGCATTGAAGAAGTCATAAACGATTCTTTTTATTGGTTTAGATAACAAAAAATGATTTAAAACAATCCTTTTTATTTCACAGTAACACCACCAGCACACCGTGTGCATTCCATTCTCGGCATGGATGTAGATGATGATGGTCGTGAGTCGCATCCGCTTTTCTCCGAAATGATGGAATTGACAAAGGATGGCGATGGCATTGAATGGAAAGAATCGGCACGATGGCTTAAATTCGAAGAGAATGTTGAAGATGGCGGTGACCGTTGGTCAAAACCATATGTTGCTTCATTATCGTTGCATTCATTGTTTGAATTGCGAAGCTTGCTGACCAACGGAACAATTATGCTGGATATTAATGTGAATAATCTCGAAGAACTCTCCGATCTATTTTGTGATAACATTGTAAATGCTGGACAACTGTCAATTTCAGCACGTGCAAATGTGCGTGAAACTTTACTGCTACGGCATCGACATCAGCATGAAAGAAAACCCAAGAAAATCGATAACCGCAAATTATCGTCCCCAAAAGGTATGTCGAAACATGTTATGCCATTGACACTGTGGTCCAAATGAATAGAATAAACACATGTTGTGGTTTTGTAATGACATGTTTTGAATTTTGAAATCGGAAAGTAACGATCATCCACTTTTTTTAATGAACTCCAATTGTCCATTTCACACTTCATATTTTTGGGCGCCGTCCGATTCATTTTTCAATTGATTATGACAACATTTATTTTCAATGTCATACATTTCAAGCGTGAAAATAAAATTACGCACCCAATTTGCCTGACAAAAGTACAGACTGTTGACATTTCTTCTTCTACTTCGATTGAATTCATGTAATTAACAAAGAAAAACAGTAACAACAGACGAATTGTGTAACCAAAAAACACCATCACGTGGTTCGAAGTGATAAATGCGTACTTTGTTCTCATTTTCGAAATTCCATCGTAATGATATATACATGTGACGTGTTCCGTTTGAGCAAAATTGGTACGTACTGAGGCCAAAAAAACAACAACAAAATGGTAAAAATAGATTTATCGCCACTGATGCATGTTTACCATCGAGCACATATGAAATTATATTTTTCGATTTGAATCTATGAAAATGCACGCTGTTTTGATTCTCTAAACTAAATGCAAGCTGCACGATCCATTTTCAGAAATCAATTTTCTTGCCATACTGTTTACTTTACTGTTTTATTTCAATTCATTTTAATTTTTATTGAATTCACCAAACTTCCAAAATTTATACGTTTTTGCTCGAATTATAACTGGAAAATGTTTGAACATTATTATGAATTGATTGGATTTTTTTTTCTTTCGAAACCTGAGCAGATGGAATGGCTAACAACCAAAGTCAACAGAGTGGTGCGGCATCAACAGATCAATCTGATTCCGCAGAACCGCAAAATGGATCAAGTCCATTCAAAGTTAATAAACACTTTCTAAAGAAAATCTCGCCTGGAACCGAAGCAAATAGTATTCTTATTGGTGAAGCTGAGTTTTTAGACAAAACAATATCAGGACTGTTGCGATTGAAGAGAGCGTCGATATTGGGTGATTTGAATGAAGTCCAGATTCCAACAAGGTAAATATTACGTAATGTAAACTTGGATCAAAACAGTAGTCGAAAATCTATTTTGAAAACTTGAGTAGAATCAATTTCGATGTTCAAATTTAATTTACCTCTCATTTTCACAGATTCTTGTTCATTTTGCTGGGTCCCGTTGGCAGTCATGATCGCCATCGTGAGGTCGGTCGAGCAATGGCAACATTGATGTCCGATGAAATATTCCATGAGGTTGCTTATCGTAGCAAGAAACGAGATCATTTGTTGGCCGGAGTCGATGAGTTTTTGGACGCCGTAACAGTATTACCTCCAGGTGAATGGGATCCAACCATTCGTATTGAACCACCAGCGGCGATTCCATCACAAGAATTGAGAAAACGGTTACCAAACGATCCGGTTGCAGAAGAAGTTGATCATGATGAAGAAGCGCAGCGTTTAAGAGAAGAATCGGGATTAGTGCGTTCTGGTGTCTTATTTGGTGGTTTAATTGATGACATACGCCGTAAAGCACCATGGTATTGGTCAGACGTCAAAGATGCGCTCAGCTCACAATGTATTGCATCATGGGTATTCCTATACTTTGCCTGTTTAGCGCCGATTATCACGTTTGGGGGCTTAATCGGAACACTAACGGGAAATAATATGGCGGCCATGGAATCAATAGTATCAGGTTTTGTTTGCGGAATTGGCTACGGTTTCTTCTCCGGACAACCTCTTACTATCCTGGCTTCCACCGGGCCAGTCCTTGTGTTTGAAAAAATTGTTTACAAATTTTGTTTGGTTACTGAATTGGATTACATGTCTTTTAGGTAATTTTTTCATATTAATCGATTGAAATCGAAGGTAATCTTGATAAATCAAACAATTTTCAAACGTTTCCCTCTTTCAGATTCTGGATCGGCACTTGGATTTCAATTGCACTTCTCGTTATGGTTGCCATTGATGCAAGTGCTTTAGTTTGTTACATAACACGATTCACTGAAGAGAACTTCGCTACATTGGTCGCTGTCATTTTTATCTATGAGGTTAGTGTTTATTGCAGTGAACATGTTCAATCGCTGGAACTTGAACGAAAAGCTCAATGAGGCTTGATTTTCAGGTTTTTTTTCTCTCAAAACCCATGTGAACCATTTGCGGAGAAATTCAGTACACAGCGAAGCCGTGCGGAGTTCGGCGGAGATGCCATACATACACTATATCTGAAGCAGTGCGCTCATGGCTACTTAGATGTGTATTGAACAATAGAAATGTAAACACAGCAAAGAGTGCTGTTTCGCTCACACGTATTGCGTATGTACGGTATCTCCGCAGAACTCCGCACAGCTCCGCTGTACACTGGATATCTCCGCAAATGGTTCATTTGGGAAATGTGTCCGTAAAAAATAATCGAAACTTTTTTGTAGGCAATTTTGAATGTGTTATCGATTCAAGCCAAATTTCCGATATCATCACCGGATGATGTGTATGATTGCGTATGCCAGTCTCCATTTGACGAAAATGACTACAATTGGACAAAATACACAAGCGCTGAATGCGTTGTATGTAATATTTAAAGAAATTGTTGGAAGAACTCAGTACGTTACTCAATTTGATGTTCTAATTTCATTTGACAGGCATTGAATGGTACGCGAATTGGCACCGACTGTGATAAGCCCGAACCAGTTCCGAATGTTTTCCTTATGTCGATTGTACTTTTCTTTGGTACATTTATCATATCACAAGTTTTGAAAGACTTTAAGAATGCTCTATTCTTCCCATCGAAGGTAACAGCTGTTTGCTTCAACCAAATATTTGATTTTCACGCGAAAATCTCATTACCTAATGAAAATCAAAACTTTCCAGGTTCGTCAGCTGTTCAGTGATTTCGCTGTTTTTATCGCCATAGTATCAATGACAGTGTTGGATAGCTATATAAAAATCCCAACACCGAAGTTGGATGTACCGTCTGAATTCAGGCCAACATTGGAAACACGCGGATGGATAATCGACCCATTTGTAAACCACTTCTGGTGGTGGTTGATTGCATTCTTTCCGGCCATGCTGGGTGTTATTCTCATTTTCTTGGATCAACAAATTACTGCTGTGATTGTCAATCGTAGAGAGAATAAGCTGAAAAAAGGCTGTGGCTATCATTTGGATTTGTTTGTGCTAGCAATTCTCACTCAGATTTGCACAACATTAGGTCTGCCATGGTGAGTCAAGAATCAGCAAAAAATTCTTTTAATTTTCTTTGAAATGAAGTTTTTCTATGAAAATTGAAGGTTTGTGGCGGCAACGGTTATGAGTCTTAATCACGTAAATTCATTGAAATTGGAGTCAGAGTGTGCTGCCCCGGGTGAAAAACCGCAATTTTTAGGTGTTCGAGAGCAACGTGTCACTCATGTGATGATCTTCTTGACAATTGGATGCTCTGTGTTCCTTACACCACTGCTGAGCCATATCCCGATGCCCGTGTTATTTGGTGTTTTCTTGTATATGGGCTTCGATTCACTGAAAGGTCTTCAATTATTTGATCGTATACTGATCATGTTCATGCCGGTTAAATATCAACCAGATTTTATGTACTTAAGACAGGTGATTATTCAACAAGTTCAACTAAGAATCAGAAACAGGAACAATTAATTAATTATTTATTTGGCATCAATCTAAAATTTGGATTCTACATTCATAGGTTCCACTGAAACGTGTTCATATGTTTACACTAATACAAGTCGCATGCTTAGTGTTTTTATGGTTGATCAAATCATATTCATATACGTCAATTCTATTCCCAATCATGTTGGTAGTTATGATTGGCATTCGAAGAATATTGGATCGTGTATTCAGTTATCGTGAATTGAAAATTCTCGACGACATCATGCCAAAAACAACGAAACGACGAAAGAATGCGCCCAATTCGAAAATTAGAGACGTAAGTGCTAGTTGGTTTTTCATTGTTTTGCAACAAAACATTTGCTCAATTCATTGAATCACTAATTGGTTGAACATCGTACAATTTTTATTCAATTCCAGAAACAAGATCAACCGCCGCCATATCCAGGAGACGTTGAAATTTCAAACGAAAAATTAGCATTACTCATTCCAAAGAATCCCATCAATATCACCGCAGAGATGAACAAAACGACAATTTGGAAACATGTGAATGACAAAAACAGTAATGAAGCAAACGGGCAAAAACATAACGGTAGTTCTTCATAGGTCAAAAGGCGATTTTTTTCCCTGTATTGATTTTGTTTTTTATATTTTTGGCGAATGGGTAGTCGTAGATATTTATCTTTTGGTCATCATTTTTAACCAAATATAATCAAACCAGACAAAAAATAAAACTGAATATGAATGGATGAAATGGATAGAACAGTCAATTTTACAAAATATAAAATCAAAGTTAAATATATCAATTTAAAACGAATGGCAACATTTAAGGCTAACAAATGTTCACACACAAATCGATTTTATTTTAGGTTGCTAAATTTTACATAAACATATATTTGATAAAAGAAAAGCTGGTTTTTTATTGAATGTTTTTTTCTCACCAAACAATGTTCTATTTGATATTCTATCTAATGGTTTGAGCGCCATCTATTGTTCGAAGTAATCTTTAGAATCAAAAAGTAGAATCAAATGTTCTGTGAATGAAAATTCGAATTTTAGCAAGATAAAAAGGTAAGAATAAGATATAAAGTATAGCAAGCATTGAAAAATTACTCAGGATGAATTACACCTAATTTTAATTCGTTAAATGCACCTGAAACCTATCACTTTATTCCATTTACTCAATGCATATCGTTTGAATTGTAAGGACGCGTTGGTGATGTATTGATCTGATTCTAAGGTAGCATACGCGTTATGTTGCGTTGTGCTTTCATTAAGGCACATCAAACAAGCCCAACATAAGCTGGAATCATTGCGTTTGTAGTGGAGTGTGCGTGCGTTATTCTAGGTTCGTTTGGTGTAAAACACACAACAGCTGTACTTATGATGCTCACGTTATGTGAGTGTGTTGGTGTATTCTATGCCCCAATGACAGATAACAATATTTTTCTATGCCATTTTTCCATCAAACAAAAACATGTTCTTGCACATCTTCTAAAAAGTTTTTCAATTGGAATGCTACAAAAGTGTCACTAATTTAATTAAAAAAATTTGTTTTTGAAAATTCGACATTTTAGTTTAAACTCAAATGTTTTAGTAAACGCTACATTCGGTGGCAATCAAATTTCGATCATCGTTGTGTGCCAATTTTTTTTTTCTTCTCGCTTCTGTGTCACAAAAAACTATTCAAGTGTAAACAAAAAATGAAGACAACCAACATGAATTTGGTGAAATCAAAGATCAATAGGAGTGCAATCATTGCTCTAATTTTAATGGGCAACTTCTACGGTATGTATGAAATCGTGTAAAAATACCATAAACAGGTTATTGTGATCAAAAAGTGTGGGTGGAATCAAGATGAAAGTGTGCTGCGTTGAAAAATCAATTAAATCCCATTAGTTTTTGCCTTTTGTCGTATCAGAAAAAATCCCGAAAAATAAGTTGTTGTCGTTTAAATTTAAAATTTTGTGTGGAAAATTTGACTAACGATTCAATGAAATTTTTAAAAATTTAGGCTCAAGTGGTGTACAGACGTCAAGCCTGATGGGCGAGTGTCATGACATGCATGGTCAAACAATCGAACAAGGTCGCCACTACGTACCTGGGCCTGACATTTGCAGGTATACAATCATTTGGCTCCGAATTTTTCAAATCGTTTTGTTTTGTTGTTACGATTTGAAGAGATTTTTTAATTGAACAATTTTCCGGATTTTTTTCCCTCTTTAGATTATGTATTTGTGACAATGGTCATGCAAAAGGGTGCAAAGCTGTGCTGTGTACACCACCACAAGCGTGTAAATCATTCCAAATCGGAAGTTCGTGCTGCGAATTCATTTGTTTGGATGATGCTTTAACTGGAAATGTGGATAAACAGCCCGATTTCGGTATATGACTAATAGCCAGTGGGGTCACAGCGACCTTGTCACTGACGCTATTGTTTTTGATTGTTAATCGCTTTCGACAACGCAAAATTCGGGTCAGTGCAAATCGACAGAACAACGAAGAACCGAGAACAAGCATTGGATACATTGGCGGCAACTACATGAACAATGGCAACATTGAGTATCCATTCGATACGAATTCCAATCAATACAATTTATGGAAACCATCAAGTGCTTACTTTCCCAGAGGTGAAGCACCACCACCATACGAAGAGGCCGTTGCACAGGGTGCTGATACAATTAACGCACAATGCACGGTTAGGTAAGTTGCTCCTTCCCTATCAAGTGATTCCATTTTTTTTTCTCATGATTGGAAATCAATATTGATTTTTCTTTCACTTCAGTGTGGCCACAACGCACTCGGCACCGATTTCAACTGGTACAACCATGGTCGAAAGTTCATTCGACGTTCAACCGACTGCCATTGCCACGAGCACCACAAATCTCATCAATATCAATATAAGCAATTCAGGAAACATAACGGCCGTCGCAACTGGCGAAAACCATCAAATCAACAAATGCTACAGCACAATAGCACCAAACGCACAATTGAGACTACAACCGAGTACTCAACCACGATCCACACAATATACACCTCTGCCATTGGCAACAAATCATACTACTGAACCTCAACAACGATCTCCATTGGCTGCAAATGTCAATCAAATCGAAGTATTTGGATCGGATTTGAATGCGATTTCCACAATAGCTACGACTACTGCCGAAACGAATACCGATGCATTGCTATGCAATTATAAGAATTGCTCGATTTCGAACTCGTTGACCAAGCCCAAGAATAGAAATGATGTCGTTTTTCAGACACCACAACACAATCGTGTTAAGAAAAATGGCGAGGCAAGCTTGGCTCTGATGCGAAACCAACCGAACAACACAATTTTACCACCACCACTGTTTGATGAATCGACCACAATGTCAACGGCAACGCTACCATTACTTCCGAATGATTCGATTCGTCAGTTGAAATCACGACGTCATCATCGGACAATCCCAAGACACTTTACGCTTAATGACACGGCCAACAATCCGAATGCCACCAACCCAAAAACAAAGGCCAATGAAGAAAAAACGGGTCAGAATTGCTCTGGAACAGCAACGTTGAACAAAAAGTCCATTTGCCAGTGCCCAGTGCAGCATGTTCCAATGACTTATATGGGCTCCGCCTATCTCAATTTAACACGTAATCAGCAAACAAATGAAATGCTCCTGAGCACATTGACGAAAAAATGGTCCAGCCAAAAAGCGCATGTGGCCAAATCGGCTTCATTCACATCGACACCAAGCATGGCATCGACAAATATAACGACCTCCTCTACAGCACTCGGATACAATCGTAATTCAGCATCGGGCCTTCTGAGTGCAATCAATCCACCGAAAGCGAATAGCAATGGCAGCTCCACGGCAGCTGAAACTCAAACGAATGCGGTGCATCAACCAAAAACACCATCGAAAATTTCGACGATCTCAAAGCAAATTGGTCACAATGAACTGAACACCATTGCTCACTCACAAGTACAGCAACACAGCAATGATTCATCAAATGATGTGAAATCAATGCAAGAACTATTACCAATCAGCATTAATAACAATGGCAAAGCCAGTAACTCGAATCCGTTGAATGGTTCGAAAATTGTAGCGAATTTGGAAGGCGATGGCATGACACTAGTTCCAAATGCAACAAACCCAGTGCTGCCACCGAAGCTATCGAAAGCCCAAATTTTTAGTCGTCAGGCTGAGTGTGTGCCAAGCATATCAAAATTGACAGCATCAACAAATTGCACATCCGGACTACCAGCCAATGGACTGACAATGACCAGCTCGCTCACGAATCATTATCGTTTGTCGGGTCGCGAACGAAGTAAATCACCAGCCGCTGACAAAACTTATTCAATGGTCACACCGTTGAATCTAGGCGCCGATCAGAAAATTTATCACATCAAAACCACCTATCCAACGACGGCCAATCTTACACTAGCCAGCAATCATTTCACCTTTCCGAAACCATCGAGTGTGACCAAACCACTGCTAAGTGTAAAAAATCAAAGCAACTCACAAAATATGGCAAGCAGTTCGCAATCGAAATTTTTGCAATCAAAAGTGCACAGTAGCTCATCGAAAGCCAAGAAGATAATGCCTTCGTCATTGCATAATAATTTGAACTTGCGCCAAGAGTTACAAACAAGTGACATTCTCAACCAAACGACCAATCAAATTGATGCGCATCGTATGCGAAAAACTGACAATGATAAACCGTTGCCAGTGTGCACAACCTTTACCAATTGCTCAAATCCAAAGGAACATTTTTTGCCAAACGACACCAGTTTGGACGATGATTATTTAAGTGAATGTGAAAATTGTAAATCGGCCCATGGATCGCGCTATTATCTTGACGAAGAGCATGTGGATCAACCACAGGAAACGATGACGTTGCAACGAAAAATGGATGAAAAAGAATGCGATGAACAACCATACTATCGTACTTCATCAACACTGCCAACAAACACGAAGCAAAAGACCACGTAAGTTGAATTTTATGATTTAAAGTCGTTGACGACTTTGAGTTGGTTGAATATTATACTACGTTAAAATTTGGAATAATGCAGTTTACATTCAACATTTTCTTAATATTTTGGTTATTATTTTGTCGAATTTTTCATAAAAATCTGTCTTTCTCTCCGCTTCACAGCGTCATAAAAAATCGTGAGCCATGGTTTAGCACCATTCCAGGAAGTTCATCATCCGAGGAGGATGCAATCGAATGAGAATTAATCCAATCGTCAATGATTTAAACGTGTTTTACAAATGGATTTAAAGAGAAAAAATGGATGTACCAGTATTACACAGGCCAAAGAAATGTAATGAAACAAAAGAGAAACAAAACCGAATCGGATTTTAATCCGCATATTTAATGCTAATTTTAAAAAACAAATTATCAACGTTTAGATAATAGTTGAATTTTATCAAAGAAATGACAAACCAAAACGATATAGGAATTTTACTTTTTCGAGCAATAGCTCTCTAAATACAACAAACTAGGCTAGTTTGAACACCGTCCACCGAATTAAATTCGGTGGTATTTATGTGTAATATTAACGTCTGATTGCGCTCATTTCATTGTATTACGAAAACGTGTCGTGCAACGAAACGATATTTCCACTTTAGTGGCCACTTTTTCTATAAACTCCCCTCTCTCTATCTGATGCAATATCGCAGTAAATTGATCGATTTAATCGAATATTTAAGCATAATACAAATTCATAGTATTTAACATAAGAAATTTGACCTAAACAATTGGATTATATATATATAGAATATTAAAAGAACAAAATTTTTATTATTTTAAGAGCGATAGATAATCTCGAAATATTCGGTCGAATAGTAACACAAACACATAGAGGAGTTCATTTATCTTTTCTTTCGTTGGACACCTCAAATTCCGAGGTAGTGAATGGTAAATTGAATTAAAATTTCAAACAATAAATACGCACATGTGTTTGAGAAAAACACAATTATTGATTTGGTCCAAACGACATCGTAATATTTACCAATACAATGTTGACTGCTCACTAAAACCAATGCATTTATCCTATTTGAAAAGAAAAAATCATATAGAAAAGACATTTATTTCATATTCATAAACCAAATGTACTAATTTTAATGTGTTGTTTCAAAGCACTTATTTAAAAAGTAACCGAAAAAAAATGTGAAATGATACACACGTAATTCAGACAAATGCATTTAAATTATTATAATCTCACGTGACAAAAGTATGATTGATATTGAGATAGACAAAATGATGATAATTGTATCTATTCTTTGTGTACCGTTTATAACGATATTATAGCAACAATAGAATAAGCGCTGCCAAAGCAAAAGTTCTATTGAACACTGTCATTGTATTCGCGTTTTATGCTATTTAGAGATTGAAGAAACAAATGTGACCACTGAACAGTGGGACTCTTATCAGAAATTCGACCTGTTACTGCCACTGCAAGTAAAAAAACCCAAAAAGAAAAAAAACATCAAAAATCCATTTAACTCTTAGTACAATTTTAGCAAGCAACAGCGTATTCAATGATTGTTCTCTATTTAATCGAATACCACTTTTTGGCGTATATACAAACATGTTTTTTTGTCATCATGCACCATCAACTATCTTGCAGCGTATCATATTTTAAATCAACAACATATAGCATTTGCGTGGCATTCATCATAAGAAATCTGCTCAGTATCTGTCTTCATTTTAGATATAATACAAAAAAAGAGAAACAACAACAAATATTCAATATATTACCGTACAATTGCCAAAGTAATCATACAAAATAAGCCAAGTATCTACACATTCACAAAGAAAATAACTAAAAATATTTATTGATAAATATCTTTGATTTGTCGTAAATCAGTAGACATCTATTTTGATTGTTATCGAAATGAAAATGCAACAAATTGAACAAATGACGTGAAGAAATCAAATCGAGCTATTTTATTGTTCACCTTTAAACGTGTATTGAAAATAATGAGTCGTATTCACTCAATTCATCTTTTTCTTTTCCATAGACTATGAATCATAGTCTTTTTATATCGATTTAGTTTTAAAAAAGAAATGATAGAAAATTCGCAGTGAAACATGCAATTCTTAAATACTATAATTGAAATGATTTTGATGAACATATTGATTGAATCTAGAGCCTAAAATAGAACGTTCGCCGAATGAATGCGAAATTTATTTTGAAGGCCTATGGACTAACTATTAACTTAACGTAGTACTGATTCATTCTACGAAGTATCGTAATTTGATTTTTATTTGGAGAATTTCATTCCCCCCCCAGTTTTTTTTTTCGTCATATTAAATGTAACGACCAAATGAACAAAACAAAAACTATTAAATACACAAATTTATTAGATCGAAATCGTTTGTCGTTAGAAAGAAGAAATGCTCAAAAATGAATAATGAAAACACATTTTAGGAAGGATAATTTTTTTGGGCAAATTTGCACAATTCTGTCGATGAGGATTGAGATCGATTGGAATGACCAAAGTTGAACATTGATTTCTTCAATCAAACATTTAATGAAAATACAAAGTATGAACCGAATCAAATAAATTCTGCGAACCGCTGTGAAAAACTTGTCGAGAGATACAAAAAATGAGAGAAATGATTAGATGTTTGATTGACTTGGTGAAATACAAAACAACCAAAATCTGTATGTTTCTACAATTTCTCTTTGATCTAAATATTGTACCAGGTTTTCGAAAATGTTTATTCTTTCCCACTCTATCTATCTCCTCTCTCCGACCATCACCAGTGGTCTCAGTGTTGATTCGACTATCATTAACGTACGTATTAAAGTTCATTTTAGATGTTAGATGATACAGACAAAAAAAAACAACTATTGCACATTCAAATGTACATAAAATAGATGGAAACCCCCCAGAGGAACAACAAAACATTTAAGCCCAGCATAATAAAACAAAAATATGTCTAAAAATGTAAAACTGAAATGAACAATTCAAATAAAATGTATGAATTCCACAAAATCATAAGAAAATGCGTGTCTATTTTCCCATTTGGTGTCGGTGCTGTTTGAAAATTTCAAAGTAGTAGAGCATGTTCACAAGTCGTCAGCACAACTGTCATATACTGGAGTTGTCAAAGTGACAGCACACAACCAGTCGACTATGAACAACAATAACAAATCGTCGTCGGCTAATCGCAAGATGCATCTTGTACTTTGACTCTTTTTTCAGAATGTTTCCATTTTTATGACAACGATATCAATATTTTTTGTCATTTCGTTTGTGATTGTGGTTGGAATCGTCGTTATTTTTGTGTTTTAAGTTTTCTTAGCTGCCGCAAACAGAGCGGTAATTTGGTATGACGATAATGAATCATTTGTGATAGTGGAAATGTTATTGCAATATTGAATGTTCATAGGTTTGTCATACATCAGCAAACTGTTTTGCTACATTTGTTTTGATAACATTTTCAGTGCAAAAAATAGAAATTATGACAGTAAAACAAAGTGCTGCCACATTTTCAATTGGAAGTGATTTTTTTTAGATTTACATTTGTTGCTTGTTAGTTAATTTTGGTGAAAATGGAGAATTTCGACAAATTTTGGTATTTATTACCAAAGAAGGATGCTGATGCATACTTTGTAAGTGGATTTTCTGGATTAAAACCCATTGACCTGAGCTCAATTGTTTCTCTCCATTTTTCCTTCTTGACAGGAACTACGAAATTATCTAGAGAATCCAGGCTGTGATACTGACATAGCTCGACTCTTCAAGACATCGACACATCGTTATATTTTGGCAAATCTATTGGAGCATCCCTATCCGATGTGTCAAATTGTCCGCTGTTTACCACAGCCAATTTATATGCAGTTATACTATTCGTCTTTGCTACAATTTGCCGAATTTTCGCCAGACCAAATGAGCGTGGCCAAGTTCAATCTGTACAGTTTTCTAATCAATGCTCACGTATCGGATAAATGGCTTGAGAAATGTCAAACGCACGTCTTCAATGCAATTTTTCAACGAATCGACAGAATGAAAAGCACAGATGAATTGCCGCTAGTGCTTTTGTCCAGTAAATCGATGCCATTGATAAGAGCGTACCATACTTTTGTGAACCATTGCTTTGAAGCGAATCCATACACAAAACGAACGGCATTTTTTATGGCATCTTACCGAAGTACTCACTTTTTCGAGCCCATAATTCATGACAATCAGGAAATTATCGAACCCGATTTTGTACGCAATGCTTCAAAATTGGTCCGTTTGGCCATGCTGATGAGCAACAAACCGACTCGCCCGAGTAACGATTTCAATTTCTACGACGAAGTTTGGAAACTATTTGAACAAATCGAACCGGCTGCTTTGAGTGATAATCAAAAGGTTTTGTATAGTGAATTCGCTCGTATGTTGTCATTGCATCATTTTGTGCGTTCGAATCGACGGTATGAAAATTTATCCGATTCAATAGCGATTAAAATGCTCGCATCAAAGTACAACATTTTGGATTTCTTTGTGAAATTCAACGACGGATGCATAATCATGAACACAAGTGACTATCATTTGGTGCGCAAACAATTGGTTGAAAATGGCATATTCAATCGATCAATTAATCCAGACATCCAGCTAGACGGAACCAAGGCGTCCGAAGTGAATATGTACGATCAATTTTTTACAATTAATTTGATGATTTCCTTAGTTCTGCTGCGATCCACAACAATAAACTATGAAGAGATTGTACGTATGAAAAGTGGTGAAATCAAGCAAATCATCGATAACATTGACCAGCCACTCGATTACATTGAAGCCATTGAATTTCTATTCAGTTTGCTGTTTTTGCGTTTTGAACACGTAAATTCGCGAGTGTTTAGCAATGGCAAATTGGTGCATACATCCAGCAGTTTGCATGATTCGGAGTCGTCGATGGAAGAAGTGAAAAAAGTTCCGGCTCCATCAAATGTGAAGAGTGGATTTGCCTGTACTTTCATCGTCGTTCAGAATATGATCAGCGTCTTGAGCGCGTCCATAATCAATCGAAAAACAGATGAATTGACAGACGAGCTCAAGCAACGATTTGTGCGCATTGCAAGCGCAATTGACGATGCCAAATGGCGCCTTCAATTAGTCGATTTGTACTATTCAACGAAAAATTATCTACGTGCACCATCTGAACTAAAACTTATGTTCACATCGAGATACAAGCAAATGGACTCGAAAACGACGGTATTCAGTAGCTCCGATGAGAGTGATATCATTGTAACCATTCCAAAGAAACACGCAGTTGTTCGGCGAAAGACACGGCGTCATTCGGGCAAAAAATCATCTAAATCGTCAAAGTCATCGAGATCGGGCAAAAGTGACACATTTGCTAACTCAACGGAAATTGAGGGGAAAGAGCGAAAAACGAACGCCGGATTTGATTGTGGAAATATTCCAGCCATTCGATATGCAAATTATCGCGAGAGGAAAGGATTCATGAGTAAAATGCTGGGCCAACTCATCGATATGGTGACCATTGAGGTGATTCGTGGCGATTTAAATGCAGCTGAAACAATTATTGAGGTAATTTTCTGTTTCGATTGACAATGTATTTTTGAAAAGAGTTTTCATTCGTTTCTTTCACATTTCAGGCAAATAATTTGTCCGATTCATCGATTGCGGCCGAGGTAAAACTGCTGGAAAAATTCAACGACGTAAAAACGATCTTGAAAGAATCATTAAAAACGATTCCCAGGGCTCCCGCCAAAAATATGGACTACGTCTATTCGATGCGGGAAATAAAGAATCTCGTTGGTGCCGGCTTTGAATCCTCACAAATATTAGATGTGCTTGAGGAGTTTGTGACGCAGCATCCCATTCACGAGACAGACGAATCAAAGGCAATAGTCGATCGATTTGTGCAAAATTATCCGTATTTGGAGCTGTACAGAGGACTAGCGTTGCAAGGAGTTGTCATCGTTGATTTCGTACTAAGTTTGGTATCAAATCCAAACCTTTCCTCAAGAATAATCAATATGTTGTCGAAATTCTGGGATAAAAATGAACCAGTCGAGGTGTTTAAGAAGCGAATTGGCTACTTGGGCTTTATTAATGAGATCCATGCAATTTTGATGCTTTGCAACAACAGTCGTGACCAGTCGATGTGCATTCAAGAGCTCTTATCTACGCAACTTTATACATTCCATGAAACGGACGCAAAACAAAAGTTAGAACAGGAAAATTTATTCATAAAACAAAAGCAACTCACCATGGAAGCGCTGTCAACGCGAACAAACCTCACGCAAAGCATTATCGATTTTGGTGTGTTTAATCCAAAGAATGCGAATTTACTACAGAATGTCTTTGGATACTCGATGAATATGAATCGCTTGATTCAATTCAAAAATCCCTTTGAAATGGATATAAATCGCACGTGTCTCGAAGAAATCCTGGAAATCGACTTGTTTTCGTTGATCGGCGATATCATGTTCGATGAAAATGCAAATGCTTCATTGAGAGAAATCGAAGCGATTGTTTGTAATCTCAATACGAATCTCGTGCACGTTATCACCAAAAATACTTGTCCAATCATCTCGATTTATGACAAATTCAGCTCGAATTTAAACGATGAACTGAATGCAATACTCCAATCCTTACTTACCAAAGAAGAAAAAGAAGAAGACAACAAATCGAATGAGAATGATGACCCAGAAGATACGTTGCGCAAACCATTTAAAATCAAACGTCATGACAGTCTTTACTATGTTCGTCAACATAACGAACTGATTGCTTATATTCTGGGAAAAATTCATGGCATCGAACCAATTGAACCGATTCAAGAACCAAAAATGCAACTAAATTATAATTTACTCAATAATATCATGGAAATGGAGGAGTTGGATATTCGAACAGCCCTAAATGAAGATTGTGATCAAATGTTGGCCGCACTTAGCTTTGACTCATTCCAATTGGACCTGGTGAAAGAGTTTATCGAACAGAAAAACTATCGGTGAGTTTGCAATTTATTTTCCTACTAGGTATCGAGATCGGTTGTTTATTTTTATAAATACCATTAATTTCCTTCTCTTTGCAGTTTGGCACATCGTTCGCTCCAATTTTGCCAAGAGCGTCACTTAAAGCGCCACAAACAGGTCATTTGGAATATCAAAGATGCGTTGATAACAAAAATCCTAGAAGCAGAAGAAGAGAATGGATCGGATGCCAACACATTTTCGCTGATTGAACACATAAAAGATCTTCAATTAATGTCTAGTACGTTGTTAAAGCACATCAATCGAATAAGTGATGACGAACTTGCTCGACATTTAATTCGAACGATATTGCTGCATAGTCGCGTGAACGAGGTGCCATCCGATCAAATTGAGCAGCTCACAAATTATATGTCCGATATCGAGTTATATGCCAGCATAGGGAGGGCCATAACCATGACGGATTACATATACGAAACATGGACTAAAGTTATGGAAATCTGTCGCGTGGCACCCGAACGTCTTCTCTATTCATTGATTGAGCGCAATCAATACGAATTGTGTTATCAATGGATTCAGACGGTGTCATTGGAGGAGACAGTAATTAAATCGCAATTTATTGACTTGTTCATTTGTAAAATCACCGACAATCGCGATAACAACGATGAATATTTCATCAAAGTGTGCGAAGTACTATTGAAAAAAATCATGGTGTTCCACATGGATTCGAGCCTTTTACTGAAATTAAGAAATCGCAAGCTGCTGCAGTATCTCGTTGACTTTTTGATCGAAAATTCCAACGATAAAAATGATCACATTTACAAAAATTACAAGATAACACTCATCATATTCGATACGATTGATGCCAAAGAAGCGAATACTTTATGGCAGCTCATTGATATGCCACTGTTGATAATCGAGCAGTACATTTTGAACTCGAAATTCGAAACGTTGGTCAAAATTCTTCAGGCGATTCGACCGCATATCAAAAACAATGTGTGTAATTTTTGTGGAACTTCGACAAAGGCTTCATCATCGATAGAATCGAGTGGAAGCGATCAGCAGCACAAGCTCAATCCAATAGATGATACTGATCTGGAACATAGTTCGCCTTTTAATTACAGCAATCATGCGACTAGTGTTCAGTGTGTTGATCAAATTCTACGAACATATGCAGCGAAGGCACTTGATTTTCGCATCGGCAGCGGAACTGTTGATTCAAATGTTATGGCGGAAAGAACCACACCAAGTAGTGCCGTTAGTTTGGATTCGTTGTGCGGAACATTTCAAATGCCACGAGAAGCACCCGATAAAGCGCATTGGGTCAAAGATCATGAAGCCACTCACTGCATGTGCTGCAAAAGATCTCTTTTCACCATGCTAACGCGACGACATCATTGTAGACGTTGTGGACGTGTTGTTTGTCATTCCTGTTCCACCAAACGTCTTACCATTCCGAAATTGTACGAAAATATTTTGGTGCGTGTTTGTAATGATTGTGCTCATCAAACCGAAGAAGCGCAACGGGTAAAAACGGAAATTATTGCTAGCGTTTCTACGCCGCAACCAACACCACCGGTTCAATCTACTTTGATTTTGGAAGAGAACGAGCAACGAATCAGTACCAGAGATGGATGGGTCTATCGATTCACTGGCCATCTCAAACATGACCATTTGCTGCGAGAAGAATTTTCATTTGAATACGCACCGAGTGCGTCTCTGTGCATAAATCTCATTTCGATGCACACACCTGGGCAAGATTGTTGTGACTTTTTGCTGAGCTATTGCAAGAAATTCGAAGCTCTATTGAAACCACTCAAACCGGGCCAATCCAATCCGGAAGTCGATTATGCTTTTGTCACCAGAATTCTCTACTGTTTGTCGTTTGCGGCAAAGGTGAGGTTGAATTTCTTAAATCTTTAGAAAATTGTTTGTAGGAACATGAACAGTTTGAATTAAAACTAGAAAAAAAAATTTTTGCTTAAAAATACAGATGTATGGCGGAAGTTCGGATTGTATGAAAATCCGTGATCATGCCGAAATCATAAATTCGGTCGTTCGAAACGGTTGCGAATCACTTTTGCCCATGGAATCGATTAACATGAAAAGTTTGCGAACACTGCGCGACAATCTAGTTGTTGCCGAGAAGTTTGAATTGGCCATTGAAATTTCATTGAAATCGGGATTAGAGAAGACGGGTATTATGGCCGCTTGGGGCATTGCATGCATTAAAGCTGGATGTTTTGAAACCGGTTCGTATTCGTATCACAGTTATTCATTTTTATAGAATTTTTTTTTTTTTTTTGAGTAACAATTGTTTTTCTATATTTTCTAGCTCGTGAAAAGTTCGTTCACTGTTTGATTCCAACCACTTGTGACAAGGATCGTCGGCAAATCAATCATTTTCTGACAACGGATGAGCAAACGGCCAAAAATCAAAAACCAGTCCTTCATTTCAAGTCAACGGCACGTTCGCCGAAGGTGCAACCGCTTCTTCAGGAAATTTTGACCATTTTAGAGTCAACTTGTCATCCGGTGAATTCAGACGTGTTGTTCAACGCTTCAACGTTCTCACAATCAACTCGATCGCTTTTATCACTCAAATTTACCAAAAAGGAAAAGTACCCAATCCACGAACCGGCCGTTAATATTTTGCATACTCTATCGAATTTGAAGCAAATTTCACATGGGAAATACTCAGTGAAAACACATCGCACGCTGGGATTAACAGGAACTGAGGATATGAATTCACTTTTTGCATCGGACAGTGAGCAACATGGACTTCATTCGCGTTTCTACACCGAATCGGTTTATTATCTGGCTAGCTATGGTCGACATTCCGATGTTTTGCGCTTTTTGATGAAATATAAACAAGTGAAAAAGGCTCTCAAATACTCACTGTTCCTAGTCATTCCGGCCGATCAATTCATTCAAACGATCATCATACCGCATTTGAAGAGCGGCCGACTGAATGTAATCATCAATTTAATGAGCGAAATGGATGAAACGTTGATGATGTGGAAGGACTACATCATTCAAATTTGTTTGATGCTGGAAAAACGAAACCTTCTGAATAGCCTGTACCAAGTACAATTATTGCTGAAAGATACAGTTCGAGCGAGCATGACATGTGTACGATTTTATACGGTGAACTGTGTCTTATACCAAGATCTACGTAATAATGCCCATCATTTGATGAATGCTCAACAGCATCTGAAGAGTGAATTGGAGTTGTGCCAGTGGGAAGAGATCAAAACACAATCCAAACGCCCCGATGAACATCAATCGTTTGTCATGAAAATGGACTCCAAGTCACTAAATCAACACATTAATACAATTTGCAGCCAAATTGATGCTTCGAAATTTTTGGCTCAATGCGAAGAAAATGGAAAGGAGACCGTTAGTTTAATACCAAAGGTAAGTGAATCGAATACATTTCAACTAGCCTTATTTTAAGTAGTTACTTTTTTCAATTTTGTGTTTGAATTGTTATTTCCCTCTCCTAGATATCGCTGCTACCTTGCACGCGGATTCCAACATTATTCGAAAATATGCAGGATAAAATAATTCTGGTCGCGTTAATTTTAATCTGTGGTGCAAATGTTGAGGAAGGCTTTGGTTTGGCCTATCGAATCATTCAGGATATGGGTTTGAATAGTGATAAAATTTATGCGATTGTTACAAAGTATCTGGCAGTTAATAATCGCCTGCATGATGTTGAAAAATTGGTCAATTGCATCCGGGGCAATAGCAATCAAGGCGACACAAAATTATGCAATGAAATTCTATCGTTGGCTGTACAAAGTGCACTCAGCAATCACACTAGTCCGCAACGTACCAGAGCCGCCATTGAACATCTAATTCGTTTGATTACCGACGTGTCGATGCAAATCGAATGTCACATCCTATCAGGCCAGTTGAAAGCAGCCTATTTGCTGGCCGTGCAACATAAGCGAGTGGCTGACATTCGTCGAATTTTAAGATATGCCGAGAAGACCAATCAAATCCAAATCAAAAAACTATGCGAGAAAAAATTGCAAACCATCGATGGACAAGAGGGTCAGTCAAGTGAGCAATAACAATACCTTCGAATCGAATTGATCTGATCTCGCATAATATTCAAACATTTCTTTTAAAAAATTAATATTGCTTAACTGTTATTCTTTCTTTTTTCAAATAAAATGGACCAAATTTCAATATTCGCTGACGTTTTATTTAAACTATTAAAACCTTTTTTTTTATACACATTTGGTCGACTGTTTAGAAAATTTTCACAATTTCTCGCTCTGGTGGTGGGACATTTTTCAACTGCGATAATTTATCAGCGACATATTGTTCAGCGGAGAATTTATCGGCTGCATTGATTTGTGCGAGTAAATCGGCCTGAAATTCTTTTTCTCTCTTCATTCTGCGGCGCAGCTTTCGTTTGGCAAATTCAAACTTCATTTTCTTCTGAAGCTTCTTGTATTTGTGCTTTTTCATTTTCAATCGACGAATTTCAATCATAACGGCCGCTTCGATACTCTCATTTTGTCCTTCCAATGGTGGCAAATCCATGTCACCTTTATTGTTATCAGTGATTTTCTCCATAATTTCATTCACAATGATCGAAACGGGTGTATCGATATTTTTGCGTTCATCTTTGCCCGGCTCTTCGATGCGTTGATTTGGAGCTGGTGGCCGAATCGATGGCGGTATCAAATTGCCATTATTTATGTTCAGTGCTGCGAATTGATATTCCAATAGTTTATCACTGCGTTTTGAAATGTTCTCAATTTTGATGGGTTTCAGGGTGATTGGTTCAAGGCATACGGATTTTGGTTCGATTTTCGATGTAGAAGCCGATTGGAAGAATCGTTGCCCAATCCTTGGCACATCTGAAAGAACAAATCGGACAATTTGAGGTTAAGACGATTTTACATTCTCAATTTGTTATTAAATAAGAGGACATGAAGTCCAAACTCACTTCTGACTATTGCCCGTGTAAACATGACGCCTTCTCTATTCCAACATACAATTCAAAATCAATTTTTTTCTTCTTCAAATAATTGTTCAAAGCGACCGCAGAACAAAACACTCCCGCAGAATATATGAACCTATCTGCGTTGATCGAACTGTCAAAAGCCTGCTGATTAAAAAAAAGAAACAGTCAAGCATTGAGTGTGTCAAAACTGTCAAAGTAATGATGCGTTTTCGGAACGCAGTCCGAATCTCATTTGTTGTTGCTGTTGAGCTGTATTTGTGACACATAATACAAATTATACATCAAACTCACTGAACCACCTCCTATTTTCCACTTAAGACCACTTTTTAATTTTATTTTATTTGTTCATGTATTTTTACCCAATTTTGAGCTGACAACTTCGTTTGGACACCTTTAATTCCAAAACACATCAAACATTCCAAGAACAATATAAATTGTTGGTATTTTGGATTGGGCGCAAAGAAGAGAAGAAGAAAATCAGAGAGCTGCTCTAATTAGCTGTTGTCACAATGGATGCATCAAATTTGGAAGAGAAATATAAGAAATTAGCCGCTGAATATTCGAAGGTAATCAGGAGATTGTTTATTGAAATTCATGAAACATTGAAACTGAAAATCGATTTTCGCTTGGTTTATTTAGTTGAGAGCGCAGGCTGGAGTATTGAAGCGTGCAGTGGTTGAAGAGCAAAACAAAAATGCAACTCTACGGGAAGTGTTCCGAGTGAATGAGACGAATTTGCGACGAGCCGAACAGGAAGTGGATAGCTTGAGTTTTCGTAATAAGCAATTGGAGCTTCGTTGTGCAAGTCTACAAGATGACTTAATCAAAGATGCATCGAAAAAAGGTGGCAAAAATGCCAAATCAAAAGACAAAACGTCAAATGTGAATGCAACACAAATGTCAACGGATGATGGGTCCGTGTTGAGTGAGGAATTTCAGAAGAAAATTTTCGAATGCGCGCAGCTGACATCAAGTATTGCCGATAAAAATACAGAGATTCAATTGCAGGCAAATCGAATCGAAGAGCTTGAAAATTTACTCAGATCTATGAATGCTGAACAAACTGAAACCGAAACCAAATTACGCAGAGAAGTGGAACGATTAACGGTGAAAACGCATGATTTGGAAGCAAAACTGGCAGAAGCCACCAGTATCGTTGGTAGCGATGACACACTTTATGTGTCCGAATTAGAGCAACAAAAATCAATAAACAGCTGCAGCACCGGCGGCGGTGGCAACAACAAATTGGATGAACGTATTTTGGCACTGGAAAAGGATTTGATCCATTGGCGAACACAATGTGAAATCCTCCAAATGAAGGGTAAACTAGACAAGAGCAATGCAAATGCCATCGAACAGAATAAAATCGATACGGATAACATGAAAAATGCGGAAAATGAAAAAACTACACTCGGAGTGACGGTTGGAGAACGGTTGCTCATAGAAAATTACTCAAAGAAAATTGAAGATCTACTTACGGCTAAGTGTTTGGCCGAATCCAAGTTGGCCATGTATATTGAAGAGGTATTGCATTACTAATTTTCATAGTAGTAGTTTTTTTCACTCTGTTGATGAAGTAGATGTCAATTTTAATTCCATTCAATTCGTCCAACCTTCTAGTGTGATTCACTCCAGAAACATCTGGCCATTGTAAATAATGATCTCAATGAAGAGGAGCGAAAGTTTAGAGTTTCTCAACGTGATTTGCAATTGGCTGACGAAGACTTGGTAAGTATGGCTATCAGCTATTGGCTAATCTATGCACGGTGGATTATACGAAGGGCGTAAAATAAAACAAGACATTTCAAGCACATATTAAATTACACGATCCATTTCGCTATTACAGGCCACCACCCGAATAAACTACGAGGAGCAAATCAGCGTACTCACCGAGCAAGTGATTTCGTTAAGTGATCAATTGGCTGCATTGAAATAAAATTTTCGCATGAATCACTCATCCCAAACCAAAATCAAGCTATTTTTCGTTCCTCTGCAGATCAGATTAAAACACACAGACACAGACACAGACACTCACACTCAACCGAAGGAGCAATATGAACTTTCTTTGTTAATCAAATACAAATATTTTATTTTATCTCGATTTGAATTTTAGATGTGATAAAATTACAATGAAAAAGAAAACGCCCTTTTTGTTTTGTTTCATTTCGTCTCTTACACATTTTGCGGAACGTGTTTCTTTTATTATTATTTAAAAAAAGGGAGATTTCTGTACAAAATGCAACTTTATTTCATGATTTTGGTGACCAGGCCAGCAGCGATAGTGACACCACCAACACGCAGCGCGACACGGCCAAGTTCTTTGAATTTCGCGTACTTTTCAATACAAATTGGTCGACTCACTTCAATCCCAACCAATGCACACGAATTATTGCTTAGGCAACGTGGGTTCTTTTTCATTATTTCACCAGTTACTTTATGCAATTGCGATTTAAGCTTAGTAATTACGGCCGCTTCGACAAGTGAATTAAGATGCAACACAACCGGATATCCATTTGTAATGGGCATCTTAATATTAAACACAATGATTCGAGCCTGGAAACGTGTTGCAATTGGCACCACATCTTTTGTATGACAAATAACCGAACCGACGGTTATGTTTGATGCATCGATTCCAGAGACCGTAATTGTCACTTGGTCACCAGCAAATGCAGTCGTAATCGAATTGGTTTCGTCAATATTGATCTGTTTAACGGTCGCCTGCTCTTTGATTGGACACACCAGAACGATGTCATTGCGTCGTAGCACACCCGTTTCGATGCGCCCAGTAACACACTGACCAGATATACCTTTAAAAATATCTGTCACGGATACGCGAAGCGCTTTCTCAACCGGTCGCTCAGGTACTCGGAATTTATCTGAAACGACCAAAATTGAAGTTTAAACTTGTCCACTTTTGTGTCAGAATGGATTATGTTTACCTATTACACTAATTAGTGTTGGACCATTGTACCAAGATAACAGCTGTGGTTCTGTCGGTGGCTTTACCAAGTTCTCACCGGTCATTCCGCTGCATGGAATGTAGCTGACATCTGATTCCTTAAATCCTGCCTGACGCAAAAATGATTTCAACTTGCCGACGATTTCATCGAATCGCTCTTGCTGCCAATTTACTGTATCCATTTTATTTATAACAACACCCAATTGACTTACGCCCAATGATCTGAATTGGTGGATTAAAACCGATTTTCGCATCAAAATCAAATAAATATTTCTGTTTTATACAGTTATGTTGTGCTTAAAGATGAGACGAGATCGTCTCGAAAACATTTGCAAATCAAAATTTGCGTGTCAGAAAGACGTGTGCAAGGGGGGGGGGTATTCCGGTTTTACCCCCCTCTAGGATTCCAAAATGTGGACCCCCCCAGCGATTTGGAAAATTAGACACTAGATATAATCGATTTTCAAAAGTGAGGACCTTTTTTTTTTTTTTTAGGTCTTCACTTGTTTTTTGACACCCATTGGCAAAATTGTTGACCCCCATTGTGGAATTTGGCCTGTTATACACTAGATAGAATCGATTTTAAAAAGTGAGGACCTTTTTTTTTTTTTTAGCCCCCCCCCCTCCCTAGAATTTTTGACCTTGCACACGTCTGGTGTCAGATTAAGAAGTTATTTCCATTTTATTAATTCATTCTCATTAAAATTAGATTTACCTCACTAGAAGAGCATGTTCTCTTGTTTGTCCGCCTTGCTCAAATCCAGTTTCAAATTCGCCCTTAGTAGCATCAACAACGAGCAAAGCGACATCGGCTTGTGTCGCCCCAGATATCATATTCGGTATGAAATCTTTGTGACCCGGTGCATCCAAGAGAGTCACTGCTTTTGATTCGGTTTCAAATACAAGCACACCAACATCCATTGTGATACCTCGTGAGCGTTCTTCGCTAGTCTCATCCAAGACCCATGCATACATGAAGCTTTGCTTGCCCACTTTCTTGCTTTCCTGCTCATGTTTGTGCATTGCTTTTTGCGACACATATCCCAAGTCGAATAATGTGTGACCTTAAACAAAATTTCTTTTAATTTATTGATCAAAGCGCTAAATTGAAAGGCTAAAAAAGAAAAAAAAACTACCCAACAACGTGCTCTTTCCCGCGTCCACGTGCCCTATCACTACTAGATGGATGTGTGGTTTTTCATTGCCACGTTCCTTTTCGAACAAGTCCTTGGCGTCTTGACTCAACTGTTCCTTGGTCTTCTGGGATGATTTTGGTCCATCTTCAAATAAGCCAACGGGAGTGTTTCGACCAGAGGCGGCCGGTGATTGAAGACGTGGCGAACTGATATCGAAACCTTTTTTCGATACATTGAGTGTTGCTTTGACCGCTTGAAACTGTGGAGTCTGATTTTGTTTCTGTGATTTTTCGAGCAATCTCGATCCAATACCTGAATAAAATATAAACTCAATACCATTTAATAAATCTGCTATCGAGACATCTTAAATCGAAGAAAACACGTCTTAGTTATTCGTATAATTAGTATGATTTATTTCTGGCGTTGTTTTCATTCCATTGAGCGTCTACTTCAATGGATGGTGTTTCGTTCATACACAGTATTATCGATAAAAAAAACCAAGACAATCGTTAAAAAATATTATGATTTTATTCTGGAAAATAAGTGATAAATCCTCAATGGGTGTGGCTTTCCTGCCTACTTGAAAGATTTACTGTTAACATCAAATCGAAATGGTTTGATTTGGTGTTTATTCATAAAACTATGCTGAACCTTCTGAATCAACGACTGTTTTTTACGCTTGTATCTTGAACAGAGAATTTTACCAAACGCAGTGGTAGATTTTGTACGCGTATCGAAATGTTTTTCCAAAATGCTCGAAATATTAAGGCAACAGTCTTGCGAAATGAATTGTTGGCTTTCAGGCCGTTCTTCAGCAATATCACAATCGATAAATTTAAAGTCGATTGTTTCAACAATACGTTTGGTTGGCACAATAATGGAACTGCTATTAAAATTCGGTCCATTCAATGCGGACGCCAAATCGATTGGGAATTGTTGTTCTTCCACTGACATTGCTTTTGGATGTTTGTCAGCCATTACGGTATCGACGGAGTCGGATGGTGTATTTTCAGAATCATTGGCGTTTGTCGAAATGTTCAAGCGTTTCAAGTCCATAATTTTTTTGAGTGACATTTCGTGAGGAGTCAAACTTTCGCCAACCGAACTGGGTGACATTGAGCTGCTGCCACCACTCAATTTTGGTATGACAAATTTCGTGGACTTTGGTATATTGATATTTTCAGAGAGACTGATTTTCTGCAGACCATTAACCAATTTATTTGTGGACAAATGTGCATTTGCTAAATCCGATAAATTGTTGAATTTTGTTGGCCGTGCCGTTGATGCATCGGCTACCGCAGCTGCCGTTGGTTCAGTGGAGGAGGTGTTTTGCCCGAAAATACTGGGCAATTTGAATTTTTTCGCTTGAACATCACCATTGGCCGCTGTATTGCGCTGCTTTAGCAGATCCGTAAGGGACAATGGTTTTGAATCTTACCTTTGCCAAAATCACAACACACACACACGCACGCACACGTCACACAGGTGGAAGAATGAGCGAAAAAACGCAAACATCAAGCCGAATGAACAATGGAATGGTTGGCCGAACATGAAAACAAAGAAACGCGAATTGAGAAATAAATAATGCCAAATAAAATGAAGAAATTCACTGCTATAACTACAACTGCTAGTGGAACTATATAATAGAATCAAATGTTGGCTATGATGATTACCTGTTTCCATTGGCGGTTGTGATGAGGTCGATGTGATTGCCGATTCGGACGAAGAATTATTCAATATCGCATCTAGTGCTTTGGTACAGTCAAATTTGTGAGCCATGATAGCCTCAACCAGCTGCCGTTCCGAAACTGTATCACCGACTACATTCCGAATTTCATCCATGCACGAGTCCAACAACACTTGTTCATCCTCACTGAGTGTTGGCATTTCAAAAGTCTATAGACAATAAAATCAATGTTGAAAAATATATATTCAATGATATGTATCAAATGGGCTCATTTACATCAGAGTCTCTGCGCAGTTTTTTGTGTAGTTCGTCTGCCATGGATTCAGATTCCTCGTCCGTCTCCTCTTTGATGTCATGATTATTCGTGATGAATGATGCAATACTCTGTTGGCCTCGATTTCGATCGTACATCCACTGTTGAGCGTCGGTTGGTGAAATAGGTGACTCATCATCCACCGAATGACCATAGATATCATCGTACGCATCATATTCTGTTGATGTACAAAATAAAAATCAAATCCAACAATCAACACTTTCACACAATAAACACAAAATTTCCGAGACAAATCGTCTCGATTTTGATGACAATGAACAATACCATCCGAATAATTCATAGTTCGAACTGCACGATGCCGAGACATTTGGATCGATTTTACTTATACTCCACAGATAATTTAAAAAAACGAACAAATTTATTTTTAAATATTAATTTACAACAATATAATTTTCTTCTTCTTGATTTTGGAATTTTATTTTGCGATCAACATAGCTACACTCTTTTTTCTTCTTCTGTCTACTCACTGTGAATTTGATTGACGTTTCATTTCGTGTTGCCCGATTCAAAGTCATTGAATTGCCGTAGACGTTTTCAATCGTCTTCGAAAATAAGCTGAACACAAGACCGAATCTGTCAAAAGTCGGTGTGTTGCTGAGTCTTTGTTATTATGATCTGAAACGAGTTTTCCTGAGGAATATTTTTAGTTAGTTGTAAGAAGTCGAAGAAAAAAGAAAAGAAAACCAAATCGATTTGAAATGAAGCGAGCTTTTCAGCAGTTTGTAGTCGCTGCTGCGCCAAGGTAGGCAAAATGTGATGTCATTTTGATTGTGTTACAGTTGCAATTGTTATATACGCAATATTTTCTCTATAGATTACGAAATACCCGTTGTGGACGAACAGACAGCCAATTTTACCGTACCTTTGCATCACAATCTGCCGTCGAATCGTCGACGAGTAATCAACCAAAAAATGACAAACCGAAGCTAATTTTAAGTGAAATGTGCATAAAAAAACTCAAAGAAATTTCGGAACGCGAAAGTAAAAAATATCTGCGTGTTACTGTCGATGGCGGTGGATGCTCTGGTTTCCAATACAAGTTCGATTTGGACGATAAAGTGAAGGAAGATGATGTAGTGTTTGGCGATGGTAACAGTCAAGTGGTAATTGATACGCTTTCATTGGACTATTGTGACGGTGCGACCGTAGACTATCACACCGAACTGATCAAATCGGGGTTTCGCATCCTGAACAATCCAAAAGCTGAACAAGGATGCAGCTGTGGTGCATCGTTTTCAATAAAATTTTGAAAGAAAAAATATGTAAAAAAAAATGCGTTTGCTATTGATCTAGTCGACAAATGTTGTTTTTAGACAGTAAGACATTGTATTCAGTGATTGAAATAACAAGCGAATCAAATTAGAAATTAAAATTCATTCTGTGTTTCATTTTGAACCGAAAGAATCTCTCTATGAAACGTAGATTTACAATGAATCCCCCCCTTGTCAACATGCATGTGTAGTGTACTCCAATCACTCCCATTCGAATGGAAAGAACAAAAAAAACCATCCTCTCTCATCTAATCAAACTGAGACGCGAACGAGATGAGTAGATATGTTCGCCAGATGAGCACGACGCATACGTTTGTGTGTTGTGTGTGCCGTGTTGAAGGTGTACATAAGGCGCTCGCGAGAGAGAAAGAGAGTGTGTGTATGTGCTTTGTATGCGCGAGTCTAATGTCAATGTGCTGGTGAGTATGGGTGAAAAAGAATAACTTCGTTATTGATATCAGAACGATATACTAAGCAGTACGTGGTTGTAAGGTGAATCGAGAAAAAGTGCGCTGAAGCAGGCAAACGATGTCGAATGTATTAAAATTGTTTATTTCTGCTGAAAAAGGAATAGTTTCATAGGGATAAAATTTGACCACAACTGCATTAATATCGACGACCATTTATCCATTTCATTCATCAAATAAATCGAACACATTTTTTCGCGGACACTGTGTGAAGAAAAAGAGAAGAAAAAAAAATAGTACGAGTGTAAATAAGTGAAAAAAAAATTCGAACCGTTTATGGTGCTCTTTTGATTTGTTTCGTATTTGATTTTCAGCATCAAGAATCAGTGGAAATCGAGTGTGTGTTTTTTTCATTTCTTTTTTTCACACACTCTTCGCGTATTTGCATTTTTTTTATTTCTCTCAACACACGGTGTTCAAGTGATAATCTAGTGCATTGATTTTGTCTTCGAAAAATTAATTAAGAATCATATAAGAAAAAAAATCTAATACCAAAAAGCGAAAAAGAATAAGAGAGGAAACGCAAAAGTAATAACATCGGTTCGTGTGCTTTGCTACTGCTGCGGCTGCTGGTGCTTTGGTCTCCAAATATTGTTCCATCATCGACATCACCCACATTTTTTTTTCCTTAGTGTCAGTTATAATAAAATTTGTGTGAAACTATTGCGGACTCATTTTCAGCGACGGAAAAAGCGCAAGTGAAGTGAAAGAAGAAAATTGATTGACGACAGAGAAAAGAGAAGATATCAGAATATATATATATATATATAGTGGATAGAAGTGAGATCTCACAGTCAAGAGATTATTATACATTCGAAAATTAGCAAGAAATTTGTATTCGTGAAAATGTTTACGGGAACAGTGCGGATAAAAATATGCGAAGCCTGTGGTCTGCGACCCACCGATTTTCAAAGAAGACACAATATGACATTTGGCAAGGCAGATGAGCAGCCAATCGATCCTTATGTCTCCATTGATGTAGATGAAAATCACCTTGGTAAGTTGTTCAGAGTGGATTTTTTAAGCTCAATAATACCTCATGCCTTGAAGAAAACTCAACGAACAGCACTCCAGGAATCTTGTTTCGCGAAACGGAAAAGAAAAAGATTATCCAAAAGAGTAGAAAAAAATGGGAAGCTGCTCTCATCGTACGGTGTTCGATACACACACCCCATACTATCTATCTATAAAGGGAACAATCTATTTTAGTTCGTTTCTCTTTTTTGCTCACAATTCTGGTCAATGAAATAGTGTAGCATATAGTCTGCATCTATTCCGTTGTAATGGATTTGCCAGCAATTGATTTGGCCCAGGAAATCAAAAGTTTCATTGCAAACGAATCGATAAACAAAGGAAAAGAAAAAAAAAATTCATGCAAGAGCCAAACCAAACATACGAATCCAAAATGGCATACATTTCTCATTTTTCTTGCACATCAAAACGACAAAAGCTTGAAGCTTCACAAAGCGAGTCACTCAGTTTTTTCCATGTATGGAAAATTGTAGAGAAAAGTTTTTCCATCTTCACCCATTTTCATCGATATACACAACCACATATCCAGTTAAATATGTTGAGAGAGAGCAGTACCAGTAGCAAAATTCCAACACATCGAACGCAAATCAGAACGCACACACAGACCCATCAGGCACAAACCGTGTACGAACCCACACATGAACCATTTCTATGATTATGTATGTGTGGACATTTATTTAGTCGTTCATATTCCCTTTTTTTCTCTCTCTCTCAATTGCCTTCATTCCGTTTACATTTTCCACTTTTCTCTCTCTCTCTCTCTCTTCCTCTCTCTCTCTTTCATCAGTCAGTCATTTTCTTGACGGAGTTTCTGGTTCGTAGGCGTTCAAAATCGCGTACGGTTCGAAATCGGAAAAATGCTTTGGCAGTGTGGATTACGAGGCTCGTTCGCTCGCTCGCTCGCTCTCTTGCTCTCCTGCTCTCCGTTCGTATGCATATGAAAGTATACAAAAGCATAGTTTGAGTGAAAATGTTCGCTTTTCATGTCGAAGCTAATGCCTTACAACGACATTCAAGCGATTTGCGCACACACATACACACAGGCAGAGAAAACGGTTGAGCGAGAACTGCCGAGGAAAATGCGGATGTATTGGCATGTGTATGTGTTTCGATTTGGGACGTTTTTTCTTTCTCTCTGTTCCTTACGCGTATTGGTTGCGTGTAGCGAATGCGTTATCCCTGTGCAAATATTGGTTGTTAGTTATTTTCAATTCAATCAAACAGCGACGGACCCAATTTTATTGTTGTTGTTCTGCGAATTCTCTCAGGTCCGTATTGACTTCGCATACATATTGTCGAACGTACCACGCAATTATACAATATGGAGTGGATTTTCGCACTCACACACATGCGATGCGCAATCAAACGCACACACAACTACATTGTCGTCGCTTGTACGTGTACAAACTGACCTCTTGACGAAAATTGTGTGAGGCAGAAGATAATTTTCGCACTGTGAATATAAGAGTATGTTAATGACACACTGTGTATAGGAATTTGAGCCGAATAAATAGCAAGCACTAACACAAAAGAAAAACGAGAAAGAGAAATCATGTCGAGGAAAAATTCAGCAATTTGAGAGACCAGTGAAATGTAAACCCGACTTGAAACATATGTAGACATTAATTTATTGTACATGCATTTGCACTATTCCTCAATGCAATGCAAATTTCACATTTTTCGTTGTGAAAAAGAAATATGTTGGGAAAAACAAAAGCAAAAAAAGAAATCCTGTCTCTGCCATACGTATACACTGAAGCAAGCTTGAAGTATAACACAGCACATATTATGCTTGCGCTATTCGATTACATTATAAACATGCATTTTAGATCAAATAAGAAATCAGCAGCTCTTTCATTTGATGATTCAATTCAATTGATGTGTGTTGAGATGGCATGTGGGCCAATTAAGCTATTTTACTAACAGCAATCGAGTGAACAAGAGATATTTTCACACAGTGCATGTGTCGGTGTGTAGTGTGTAGTGTATATATATATACCTACCGTTTACATGTCCATCTATCAATTACATGTGTGTGAGTGGCAAGTACTTGTCCTGCGCGAAACAAATCTAAATTCTTTCTTGTTTGCTATTCCTGCCACTCGTTGTTATTTTCATGAATTTATGCAATTTTAAAGCGTTCATTATAAATTTCAAAATGCGCGCTATTATTTACAATTGAATTCAGTCCATGGATGTTGGTCTTTTTGCACTGTAGTGCCGCTTTTCTTTTTTAAAGCATTCTAATCTTGGCGAACGAAAAACACATTAAACAAAGATCCATGGAAGCGAAGAATGGATCGGGAGAAACGTGATTGTAAATGACAGAACAGAGAATCATGTGTCTCGGGTGCAGATGCTCTGACTATGTGAATTGAATGTCAATTTCAATGAAAAGAAAACATTTTTCTGCCATGTTCATCATAATGTTAGCAGATTGAACGAAAAAAAGAGATCCTTCAGTGAACACACTCGCAAAAAAATGAAAGCACTTTGCGTGTGATGTTGAAAATTTCTTATGCGGGCTTACCAACTGGCATATCATGATAGGCAGATAGTAGACCGCAAAGTAAATTAAGTTTTTGTCGGAAATTCTGTATTCACTGTTTATGAGTCGGCTCTTATTCACGACGCAATAAATGATTGAATAGACGATAAATGGGAGTCACTCTACTCAGGGCACAAATGCGTGCCCCGTTGCCAAGTCTATAAACCATCTTCCATGCGATGAGAAATCACTTTGAAATTTTGTTATTTCATTAAAAATTTGTTTTAAAATAACAAGTTGAATATTGCGGAACGCCACAATAAAACATCGCACATGGTCTATATTGAGATGGTCAATGTATTCTCTCTGTGTCTCTCTATCCTCATTTTACCAACTACAGACGAGCCATTTAGTTGGAATCGTGGAAATCCATCTACCATGTTCGACACGTAAATAAAGCACATATATACGTTTGATGAAAATGGTGTTGTGTATGCATTTGCCACGGCTATGCAATCATTGTACGGTGAATGTGGTCGTAAGTTTATAATAATTTTTCCGACTCTTTCGCTCGGCACAATTAGAATTAGGTCATTCCGACCGCTACGTACATGTTCGTTTATTTATGATTTCTATATTGAAGTTGTTGCCGAACTAATTTTAAAACCCCATTTACATTTCCTTCGCTTCTCTCTCTGTCTCTCTCTCACTCTTTCGTCGGTGAAATGTAAATTAGGAGAGGGAAAATAAAACACTTGGAGTAGCAAAGAGGAGAAAACACAAAGCGATGAAAGTGTTTTTAAATTGAATCTGGAGTCTCAGCATTAATTTTGTTTCCTGTTTTTTGTATTCGCTTTAAATGATAAAATCGACCGCAGTTTAAGCATTCAAAACGTTGATTGTAAAGTCAATCAATCTCAATTTATGTGCACGAACGACATGCAGACATGAAGCGAACAGCGTCAAATGACAATGTTAAAAGCAACAAAAAAATGTAACAAATATTTTATAGTAAATTATTGCGAAAATCAAGTCTAATTTTAATTTCGTACTGATTGTTATCGGCTTCGATTTCATTTAAAATTTAACGGAACAGTGTAAATTAACTGTTGCTGTTAATTAAAATTGCTGTAAAATAACACTAAATCATTAATTAATTCAAACAATGACTATTTAAAGGCCGTATGCTGCCGCATTCAAAATATCCCATGGAAATTATTATAAAAATTATATTCGCTGCTGTTCGCATTCGACATGAAGTGCTGTTTTAAGTAATTACAAATAGATAAATTCAATCAATATTCATGAAAGAAAAATTTACATTTAAATTTTCGAAACTCAATTTTGAATGTAACAATTTGTTGTGTTTTTTGTACGTTCATAGACCGTTCCACGACCAAAGGAAAAACATTCGATCCGTGCTGGAATGAGATATTCATCCATGAAGTAAACAATGCAAAAAATATCGGTTTAACAGTGTTCCATGATGCCGCCATACCACCGGACGATTTTGTTGCCAATTGCACAATACCATTTGAAGATTTAGCACACCGTGATAAAGAACAGCAGGATTTTTGGGTAAGTGCTACATTTTTTTCACATCTAACGAATTCATTTTCATTGCACCTAACGGCAGGTATTGTAAGTCCAGGAGAATTGTTGCATTTGTAATAGGAATCGCTTGAATTGGGTCATAGTGTGATACATAGTATATTACCGAAATGATCGGTGTATTGTGGAGATTTTTCTCACTCATTTATAAAAAAAAATCGTCGAGGTGTGCTGTGTGTCACAAATGAGAATACGATATGCTTATCTATTTGGTTTTGTGTTGCCAAAGTGCAGCTAAAATAAACAAAGATAGCGCGTTTGCCGAATGATAAAATTATTACGATGGAGTTGTAGAGAGAGTGTTTTTTGTGTATGCTTCTGTACGGTATATCCACGAAAAATCGAAATAAGATTCATCGCATATATTTAGAAGCAAGAATAGATTGTATAATCAGGAATATCTCGCAATTCATTTTAGTTTATCTCGAATTACGCGATTCGCACATACACACACACACACCGCCAATGTTGATACAATAGGCTAATCTTCAAGTAGGTACAGTTGTTGAATCAATTTGAACGAATATAATTCAAATTTCCGTTTCGCAGAGTACAATAGCGTTATTATTATCATCGCGTGATCCACATTACCATGAATATCACATTGTTTGAACCTATCTGTGAAAATGAATAGAGACGGAAAGGGAGAAATAGAGAGAGAGAGAGAAATCATTTACCGCACAATAACAATCATTCCAACACTTTCATTTGTAGCCCATGCAATTTGCATTATGGTCCTAATTGAATGAGCTGCATTGCTAACGGACACATTTAGATCGCCGTAAATTATTACTCAACATTATAATAGAGTTTGAGAAATGACGATTTTGTCTCTGCGTTTAATTAAATAAATGAGAACAAAAATTGATAGAAATCATCAATTATTCGCTTTAATATTGCTTTCATCATTTCAGGTTGACTTAGAGCCACAAGGGAAGATCCACGTAATAGTCGAACTAAAATGGCACGGTATGTTTTAAATTCGATTTTCAATTTGTTCAAAAGCATCTTTTTGCTTCGATCGATATCAATTTAGAAGAAAAAGAACCATCTAAATTCGTTTTTTCTCTTTTTGTACAGAACAAAGCAATACACAAGGTGCAGGCGCTGTTGCAAGCACCAAAGCCCCAACCGGGGCAGAGTTCAAGGAACGTGCCGCATTCAATCGGCGACGTGGTGCTATGCGAAGACGTGTCCATCAGGTAAATCGTCATTATCTTAAAAACTAATTGGAAATTGATGATTTCCGGCATACTCAATTTTCTTGTTTGATTTTTCATGCACAGGTCAATGGGCACAAATTTATGGCAACTTTTTTGCGTCAACCCACATTCTGTTCACACTGCAAAGAATTTATTTGGTAAAAAGAACTGCTTATATGTCAATATTAGTTGTAGTATTTTATTCGCAATTTTGGCTCCGAAAATTGAATAATTGCAGTATTTTGTATTGCTTCGATGAAAACACTTGCTGACTGAATGCGCATTAAAAACGATATACTTATTTCGATTGGGCACTTGAACGTTTCGAGAAAGAAAATGCTCTTCATTGAAAGAAAAAAACAACCCGCGACATTTGCCCATCATTTGAATGTTTTCAACAAATTTGATGCTAAAAATGTAATACCCACAAGGAATTAAATTTTTTATATCAAGCCCAAAATTGGATGGAATCAATTAGCTCGTTCCGGATCATTCAAAGATTAGCATGCACTAGAGCCCACTAGAAGACATAATTTGCGCATAAATCTCTGTTGAAAGTAATTTTGTTTATTCGGACCATTGATATTCGATGTCCACTTAAAAATTGTTATTTTCATCAATGATGATAATCCGATGTGCTTTTTTCGCGATGCTATTAGCAATGTGTTACATCTACTAATTGGCTCGAAAGTATGCAAAAAGGAATAATTCTACAAGTGGAGTTCCATGTTCAATCTAAATGATGATGTTCAATTGGATTGCATCACGGCCTTGATATTTTTTTTAATTGGCCAATTGGTAATTGGGAAAAAACACAAATTTTCAGTTGTCCAAATCGCCTATATATCTTTTGGGTGAGATTGATAGTGGAGTATGTTTTTTCTCCGATTTATATTTTTGAAAAGGCGAGTATCTTTTCTGATGATTCTGTTGGCGTTAAAGTAGAGTATGTTGACGTACCGTCTAGCCATAGAACTTTGCCGAAGAAACCAAGTTGTTATCTCTTATCAGTTCCACGAAAACCGCATAAAACCGTAAAGACCCGCCAAAAATGAACATACTCGCTTTTAACCATTTTTAAGTCGAAAGAAACTTACTCTTCTCATTCACTGACTTTGTTCAGTGAAACATATACTACTCTCAATCTCACCTATAGATATGTTATGCATAAAGTTTTGCCATATTTTACAGATCAATTTCCAATTTTTTAAACGTTCAAGGAAAAAAGCAAAAGCATCCAAATCTGATACAATCGCATTGTTTCTATAATTGATGAGACCAACTTTTGTCCAGTGGTTTTAATGAAAATGTTTGCAATTTTCTTTTCTTTTTCCGTGTCAACTCTCACAGGGGTATCGGTAAGCAAGGCTACCAATGTCAAGGTATGTTCTTCAAATCGAATGAAACAATCACCATCAAAATTTGATGCACTCTTTTATTCACAACGCTTTAATTCTTTTCTTTCTATTTCTTTTATTTTTCTTTCACGTTTTGATTTAACGCTTATTCTTCATTTAACCGGTAAATTTTTTTTGTTTATCTTTCTATTTCTCTAATTTATATGTTGATATGTCCCAAAATACACTGCCGGCCAAAAGTTTGGGGCACCCATGCATTTTTCATACGAATTGACCAGTTTTAAATGTTTTTTCAAGATATTCCAGAGACAGCTAAACCCGTGAATTTTTGCATATTGTTTTGTCTACCTTTGATGAGAAAACCACGAAAGTTTCACAAAAAAAATTCATGAATAAACGAAATACAGCCATACAAGTTTGATGGTTTTTACTCTTCATACAAATGTCGTCATTTTACATACAGTAAAAACACAAATGGCTGTATTTCGTTTATTCATGAATATTTTTTGGTGAAAATTTCGTGTTTTTCTCATCAAAGGTAGACGAAACAATATGCAAAAATTCACGGGTTTGGCTGTCTCTGGAATATCTTGAAAAAACGTTTAAAACTGGTCAATTCGTATGAAAAACGCATGGGTGCCCCGAACTTTTGGCCGGCAGTGTATATATTCACACTTTATAAATCCAAATTTAAGCTAAAATACCTAGGGGAATATCACGCTCCTGAATCTTGTGAGATATTTGAAATAAACATCAATTGTATGACATATTTTCGAATATTTCGAATAAATAAATCATATTTTCGTAAATTTTGGAGATATTTGAGATTTTTCGCATTAAATCCGAATAAATACATTTAAATATCATTCAAAATCACAAATATCCACCATATTCCGCCGTATTCACAAATATCCACTATATTTCATACGACAGATTCTTAGAGATGAATTGGATTTTTTTGAAATATTTGAAATAATCTAAGCGTGATATTCCCCTAGTAAAATACATCCTCTTTACATATTATCCGTTAATCTGCATTTATCATTCAGAAATAATTGAACGTTGAACCATTTCAAAACGAAATCGTTTTTTTTTTTCAATATCGTACACGTGAATTGAAACAAGATAAACAGGATTAAATTTCATGGTTTTTTCTCTGTATCGATTTAGTAACCATTAATACAACGCAATTGATATTTATCAACACTTGTTGTTGTTGTTTTCAGTAAGAAAGTCCAATTAAATAAAAATATCTTTTTGCAAATCACCATATCATTCAATATGATAAAGCGTTTCCAATTCTAATTGAGGAGTTTTCAATGGAAATATTTTTCCACAATTATTCCTCTTGGAGTATTTTTTTGCATTAAAATCTGAAGTGGATACTAAACATATATAATACTTGCCTATTCACAATCATACCTATCGCAATTCCATGGAAATCATTTTTTTATCTTATTGTTTGCAATTGTCTTTGGTTTTTATGATACGCATTAACTCATATTTATGAAGAATTAGTCTTCTTACTGTATTATTTTGATACATTCGATGATTGCTCTCGAGTTTACCTCATTCGGTAATAAATCGAAATACATGAAATGTTTTCCATTTATCTTTCCACCGAGTTGATTTCGATAGCAATTATTTCTACTTCAATTTGTTGTATAAATAACATAAATCTCAATATTAATCCACGTGTATTTATTTAAAGTTTGTACGTGTGTTGTGCACAAGAGATGCCATCGCTCGGTGGTAACAAAATGTCCTGGCATGCGAGACGAGGTATGTAAGACGGTAATATCTCCAAATTTTTTTAAACATTCAATTCGATTCGATTCGAGGAGTCAAATTAAAATCCTGCTATTTCATTTTCAGAATTGTCAATCGAAGAACGAGTCTCAGCGTTTCAGCGTGAATATACCGCATCGTTTTCTGCCACATAACTATAAGCGCTTCACATTTTGCGATCATTGCGGTTCACTACTGGTAATAAATACCCTATGAATGCTGTTCCTATAATTACTAATAATATAATTACTTCAATAGTATGGCTTATTCAAACAAGGGCTACAATGTGAGGTCTGTAATTTAAATGTGCACAAGCGTTGCCAGAAAAATGTTGCCAACAATTGTGGCATCAATACCAAGGAGATGGCGGAAATTTTGAACGAAATCGGCATATTACCCGATAAACAAGGCCTACCAAGAAGTTCAAAGTATTTGAATAAAGCTGCCAGCGAAGCGACTGGTGGGTCGTCAACCGCATCCTCGGATTTCGGCTCATCAAGCGAAGCGGATGAATCGAAAGATGATGCCAAATCGCCGAATGCAAGCAGCAAAAGTAAGAGTGCCAGAAATTTGTCGAGTCTCAGCACTGCCCTACCCATCGGTGATAAAGGTAAAGTGGGCCTTAATGATTTCAACTTTATCAAAGTACTGGGAAAAGGTTCATTCGGCAAAGTAATGCTGGCCGAAAAGAAGGGCACCGAAGAGGTGTACGCCGTCAAAGTGTTGAAAAAGGATGCCATCATCCAGGACGATGACGTCGATTGCACCATGACAGAGAAACGTATTCTGGCCCTAGCTGCAAAACATCCATTCTTAACGGCATTACATTCATGCTTTCAAACACCCGATCGCCTATTTTTTGTTATGGAATATGTCAACGGTGGTGATCTCATGTTCCAAATTCAACGTGCACGCAAATTTGACGAAAGTCGTGCCGCATTCTATGCCGCCGAAGTGACACTTGCACTTCAATTCCTACATCGTCACGGAGTCGTTTATCGTGATTTAAAATTGGATAATATCCTACTCGATCAGGAGGGCCATTGCAAACTGGCCGATTTTGGCATGTGCAAGGTAAGAAAATGACACATTTGAATTTAAATGTGAAAAAAGTTGAATTTATCGAAAATACGTTCTTTTCTTTCCACAGGAGGGAATTATTGATGGAATTTTGACATCGACATTTTGCGGTACACCCGATTATATTGCGCCAGAAATTCTTCAAGAATTAGAATATGGCCCATCGGTCGATTGGTGGGCACTCGGCGTGCTTATGTATGAAATGATGGCTGGTCAGCCACCATTCGAAGCCGATAACGAAGACGATTTATTTGAATCAATTCTTCACGATGACGTTCTTTATCCAGTTTGGTTGAGCCGCGAAGCAGTATCAATACTGAAAGGTATTGAATCGATTTCAATTTCACTATCACTGTTTTTATCACTTCTTTCGATTAACAATCCAATAATAATCATGCTCTTCCTGTTTTACGTTTTCAGGCTTTATGACAAAAAATCCGGCACGTCGATTGGGATGCTCTGGAAATGAGTCACAAATCAGAGGTCATGCATTTTTCAAGGATCTCGATTGGGAAGCATTGGAATTGCGTCGTGTCAAACCACCATTCCGGCCTAGAGTGGTACGTATCGATTGCTCAAAGCAATTGAGCAACCAATTTGATCAAAGAAGCTAATGCTTGTGTTTGTGTTTGAATTACAGAAAAGCCCTAAAGATGCATTGAATTTCGATACGGAATTCACGAAAGAGGAACCAGTATTGACTCCGGTACCAAACGATGTGATACGTTGCATCAATCAAGACGAATTCGCTGGATTTTCATTTGTTAATAAGAACTTTGGCCCAGAGCGAAAGATCTGTTAATTTCCTTCGAATAAAAAAGAGTTTGTGCGATCCATGTTGATTCAGGAGAAGGGAAATTAGGCCCGAGTTGTGTTAATGGGACAAAAAGTGTAATATTTATTTTAGTCAAAGAAAGTGAGAAATTAAGCATGCAAATGCAGTGCATGCATTTTGATATTAAACAAGCATCTGTGGAACAGATTGCGCTAAACCAAAATACACCACCCACACAAGTGGCGCTGATACGCGCAAGAATTTCTTTTAAAGCCAGTCGGCAAGATTTTTTTTTTTGGAAACTAAATTTATTTTACTATGTAAAGTAACGGCTGAACAGAAAAACAAAAGCTGATCAAAGTATTTTTTTTTTGAAATTCCGAATCTTTATTCGTTTTTTCTTAGTATTAAAACAATCATTTATATCTGTTTTTTTGCCATTTTCTTCTGTCATACACATTGATTTTAGAGAAAGTCTGAAAGCCGTGAATTTGATTTGTGATCAATGTTGAACATTTACAATTTCATTATTTATGCAATGTAATTGCAGATAAATTTATTATTATTGTAAATTCTATCGTTAGAACACTCGAATCCAAATGCCATACACATATATGAAAAGATGTTACAACACTAACGGAAGTAGTCAATTTCTGTTTTTGTTTTTTTTTTTAATTCTAGTTTTCTTTTCCTCATCATCATTCGAACATTTATTGAGATTATTGTATTGTAAAAAGAGGAGATTTTTCATGTCTAAATATTTATTGTTGTTAAAAGAAAATGTTAATTTATTTTATTTTTTGTGGTGCGTGTTTCTTCTGTTTTTGTTTTTATTCCGCTAAAATGGTGATCGCATTGATACATACCGTTGTCAACTGTCCTTTCCAAAATGTGGGAATTAAATAGAAAATGACGTCCCAAAACAACAAACAAACCAGATTGGATAAAACAATCTATGCATAATATAAATAAAACAGAATACAGAATCCTATTATAATTGTTAGAATAAATGCATAGACATGTGTTTGTTGAAAATGTATTTTGTCTCTATGTAAATATGATGGGAAAACGGTAGCATTTAATATGATCTATATATTTTGTGTTGAAAAAGAAACAACTGATTCAACACGAAACTGGATGGCAGTTCGTCTCTTAAATGAGAAACAAATCCTTTTCAAACTGCTTTCCTTGGATTAAATCTCCAAAATAGAAGAAAAAAAAATCACACAGAAACGCACATAAATACGACTAGATGATTTAAATAAAAACAAGATGAAACAAATTTTTATAGGATACAACAAATTAAATGCATGAAACCAGCGGTGTAAAACATACATACAAATACACTCACTCACTCAACCATCTATCCTCTTTCTGACGACGAAACATGTTTTCAATAACATATAACCGTACCTCTCTCTCTATGGCCGTATTAATTTTGTTGTACATAACTTTACCCGGCAGAAAAATAAACATAATCCATGTTTATTTTTACGGAATATGAGAACGAAAATCATCAAATTCATTGAATGATCATCAAAAAACATTGAGAAAAAAAAATGATCACAATTTTCCCAGTATTATTGTTGTCAATTTATATGCGCATTTTTTCGTATTAATCATATTCCGTTGTCGCAAAAATAGCAACAAAATGAAAAAAAAGAACATTTACGGTTTATAATAGAAAAAAAACATGCTCGAATGACATGCTTCAGCATAAACATTTCCAAGGCATAAATAAAAACAAAATGTCCCATTTTTTTTGTCATAACTGGAGAAACGGGTATATAATCGACCCATCAATAATACAAATTGTCACAAACGTTGATATATTTCACATTGCGAAAGAGAATGGATACATGGAGAGTGAACACATCACCGTTGTAAAACAGTTGAACGAATGATGAATCAAACTTAGTATTAATTACAAATTCGAGAAAAAAAACAACAACAACAACCAAACCAAACAAAAAAAAAAATGAAGAAATTTAACTTAGAAATTTAATGGCGTCTAAACGAATAAAAGTATGAACAAAGGGGTAAAACCAACTATATTTAAATTATATTTCAAGAAAAAAGGAAAAAAACAAATTATGAACAAATGATATTTGAAAATATAGAGGTGGTAATCTGCCAAAACCAGAATAAATATTAAAAGAGAGAAAAAAAACAAAATGGAAAAAAGAAATCTAGTCAATAACTGTAATAGACGTGATGAATGACTTTTTTGTTCATAAAGTTGAAATGGAGAAAAAAAAAACATTTTCGTTTAACAAAATACACCCACACAATTTTCTAGTAATAGTAATTGCTAGCAAATATAGTAACATTAACGATGATGATGAATATTATTATATTTAAAAAAAAATGGATCCAAAAAACTATATCTATCGCAAGTACAGTAGTCATAACTGAAAACAAAGTGGATATCTATATTTAGAACTATATATTGTAGCTAATAAGATGGAGAATATGAAGATTTTCACTGGTATCATTTATCCACAAAACAAACACAGTTTACAGCTTTGACAATGATTTATGAAAATTCGAATTCTATATAACAGAGCTCCCATTTTGTATACGAATATATATGTGCATCCACTGCTTACCTGTTATGCATACTATGCATTGCGTGGATAATAATAGCGGTGCCTATTTTAAGATTAGCAACCATTGACTTTAGTCACATTTACCACTCATGACTTTTCAAGTTTTGTGACTGTTTGACGTTGGAACAAATCGCCCAAGTGCGAAAAAAAACCCAAAGAACTACCGAAAATAACAAAGCGTCCAAAATCAAAACCTAAAAAGTCACAAGCTGAAAAAGGACTTGAGTCAATTGTTAATATTTCAATATTTCCTATACATAGCCACCATGCACCATGGCGTCGCGATTATTATATTCGTATACAAAATGTGAGCTCTGCTCTAAAATAAAACTTGGGTGAGATATCGTTTAAATCTACCAAAAATTGAATTAAGTACACAGTTTCAAATGAAATCTCGTCTGATTTTTACATGTCATTCTATTGTGCACAACTATTTGTTATGTTAAGGCTGAATTGAAAGGAGAAAACAGCTACATCTGATTGAATGCGTTATTTCGTATTTGACTTTTCTTTCAACGTCCAAAATACCACCGTAGATTCAACATCAAGAGTTGAATCTGCATGAATTGCATTGAAATTCATCATTTTGGCAAATCATTCTGAATGATATAGAAGAAATCGGAGATTTTTTCCTCCCAATTTTCCGTAAAATAGATATAGCATTCACGGAATAAACTGTGCTAATCCGGATTGGAAGAGGTTCGTTGAAATTGATTTTTTCCCAGAAAAATAGAATCGATTGCGCCTCATCGACCTGATGAGTGTATTAAAAATATTCTGACGATGTATTTCCGTTGAGTGCACGCTTGATAAATGGTTTGAATGTCTAAATCCCCATTTCTCCATGAATGAACACTTAGAATATTTTATGATATGTTGCATTTGTTATTTGTATGACCGATGCGAAGAAGATCAGAATTCCTTTTCCAAAAGCTTTGAATGAATGTAAACAAAAAGCGAGATGAATGTTTTGCTTGAGACGGTCAATCAAAACTGATGTGAAAAGTATGGAGATTGTCGTTTCTTTTTTTTTAATTTCAGACAGTATTGCACCGAAAAGAAAATACCGTTTCTTTGCTGAGGAAAACTTAGAAAACGTATTCAAATAAATATGATAAAATATTAGATTATAGATAGGTGAATATAACCTAAAAAAAACAATAGATAACAATTGAAGTCGTTAGAAATGATATGCATTTTGATGCGAATGAAAAGCAACATTGTTTTTTTGGCACTGTGTCAACAAACAAATACACTCAACAATTTCGATATTCAATTCTAAAGTTACAATTTGATATGGAGATTATAAAACTATTTAACAAAAGAGAAACAAAATGAAGGAAAGGAACTAGTTAGTATGCTAAAGTAATGCTTAAAATTATGTTCCTGTAGTGCTCTATATCTCCGTTGACCATAGTGAAATGATATGAATATTAGAACCACGTATATAAATAATAATACAATAATAACGAAATAGAAATGGCCAGGCTATTAGCAACAAAAAAAGAGCATACAAAATGATGTATTCATATCCAACATTCTGAAACAATATATATCCATAGAACCGCACAATATTTCAAATGAAATACACATACTCGATCACACCCGATGCGAATAATATATAATATTTTCGTTCATTTTTCGGATCGCGACCACCAATTTTATTTATGTGCCAACATCAATGGAATCAATCAGCATATTTATTGACACACACAAACACACATACACAGACACACACACACACAAAAGCGGTGATATATTTTTAAATATATATAAACGTTAATCTTGCTCTCATTTTTGTCAGCTGTAGAATACCCATTTATGGGAAGAGGCGATGGGAATAATGATAGTTTTGAAAACGAGTTAAAAACTCAACACAATATTCGGGGTGGTTTTGTCTCTCGGCCAATAATAAATATGTTATGGAAGAATAAAAAAGAACTTTAAACAAATGTTTGATAGTAAAATGAAAAAAAAAAATTACCACAAAATCTAAATGTAAACGAAGAAAAACACTGCAAATGAAACAATATGAATGTTCGTCATGGGGCATAGTAGTTTCTAAATGTTTACAGTTTGCGATAATGCGAATTTCGTCTTTAAATCTAACGTCATTACCTTTAGTCGATTTAGAAGGAAAAACCAACCAAACAAAAAGTAACCAAAAAAACACGAAATCATTTCGCCTACTTTTATAACCTCTCCTGATTACAAATTTGCACCCTTTCATCGAATAGCACCAAATGTGTGATTTAGTTGTTGAAAATTGCTTGAAACTTGAATCCAGTATAACCGCACAAATCAGCACAAAAAATATTGCGTTTGGCCGTTTGATGGTGGATTCATTCGCGCAAATGTGCAAAATTTATTTTTCCTCTTGCGAAATTCATCAATATCAATGAAAAACATTTCCATCCATATCGTTCTCTCTGGAGTATAAAATGATGGCATTTTGCGTTCTTACAACTGTTTAACCATTTATCAATAATATTACTTTTTACACCTTTCAATTCACGACATCAAGCGTTTACACATTCGACAACTAAGATAGCAGAAAAAGTTGACGAAATGGTCACATTTAAACATAAATTGTTAACAAAGATGATGAAACAGTTGTAAAACTGCGAAATATTTCATAAAATACAATATTTCCGATGAAACTCCCCCGCAGAACGAAACATTTTGCCGAACAGCAAAGAGAAAACAAATAGTGCAAAAAGTGTATTTTTAACACATGAAAATATAGTTATTTTTTATATTGTACGGGTAAAGAAAATATCTTGCTTGCGAGTCAAACTCTGGCAAATACAAAATCCTAGTCAATTCATGAAAGCACGAAACAAGTCGCATTCTGTTCATTCATATTAGCACATCTGAATAGTAGCAAATGGTTAGATCTGTTTTTTTTTCGTTTTCTTTCTGCAGTGCGAATAAAGCAAAACAAAGCTACTATAACATTAAATTGCTAGCCGAATTAGTCGAAGCTATAGTCAATCAAAATGCTCGTTCAACTGAAAAACAAAACAAACAAAACAATATAAAATAACATTTCAGTTTGATACACGCAAAATATTCTTCTTTTTATTTTCTTTCTTCTGATCATTCATCATGCTATTGTGCTAAATTAACTCATAATATTTGTTTTTAAATAAGGAATATGGAAGAAACAAGAAGAAAATGGTCCAAAAATATATGAACCCAAAGATGAAATAAAAAAAGATAATATTTTCAAAATGAGAGAATTTAATCAAATGAAATTATGAACAAAATAAAAAAAAAAACAAAGATCTAGTTGATGTTTCCAAGTCAAACTAAAAAATACTGTGAAGTATTTAGATGTGTGAGAGTAAATTAATACAAACAATGAAAAAAACTAAAATCATCCAAAAGTTATTAGAACACACAAATAAACCTAAGCTCTAGAAA